CGAAACGGACGTCACGGGAGTCAAAGAACCGGTGAGAGGGAGGGTGGTAAAAGGTGAAGTCAGAGGAGTCCTCAGGGAAACCAAGGAAGACACAGGGGACGGCACGAGGCGAGAGCTTGTCCGCGGAGGTGTCGCGGACAAGAGCCAAGCACCCCCAGACACGAAACCGCGACGCAACACCAGGGGACCCTGTCCAAAGACTGGTCGGTGAAACCTCTGGTCGAGAGACACGTGGCCAAAGGTTCAGCTGGTGCGCGGCGTACCTGACCGCGTAGGGCCACAGAAAATGGGGGGCACAGGCGTGAGTCAGGGAGGTGCGGGCGATCTCCATGACCAGGCCTATGCGGCGCTCAGCAACCCCATTCTGCTGTGGGGACTCTGGAAGCGTCCAGGACTGACGAATGCCCTGCTCGCGACAGAATCCAGCGAGAATGCCGGAGCGAAACTCACCCCCACGGTCGGAGTGGAGGCAGCTGACACGACGACCACGAGTGTTCTCGGTGGTGAGCAACCACCTGATCAGCGTAGAAGTCACCTAAGACTTCTTCGCCAGAGGGAACACTGTGGTGTAGCGGGAGAAGTCGTCAACGACCACCAGAAAGTAGCGCTCACGCTCAGGGCCTAGACGAGGGGCGGGGCCCCAGACGTCCAAGTGAAGCGTCTCAAAAGGCTCGGTGGCCGGACGAAGGGAGGAGGAGTGAGGGGCGGCGCGCAGCCGACCCTCGACGCAGGGACCACACGGCGGGGCAAGCGAAGGCGGCAGCGACGGCAAGACACGTGGGAGGCCTAGGACAAGACGCTGACTAGACATAGCGCGCAGACGAGGAAGGGACGGGTGCCCCATCCGGTGGTGCCACAGAACGGTGGGGTGGGCAAGCGACCGGCAGGAGCACGACGCAGCGACTGGAACAGACGTAGGAACCTGACACGACACAGACACCTGGGGGGACGAAGCAACCTGGTGAGACGCGGGGACCCGAACGGGGGGGGGAACCGGGGGCAGTGGCAGTAGGTGGGGCTGCTGGTGCGGCCGCTGGTGCTGCTGCTGCTGCTGCTGCTGCTGCTGCTGCGGCTGCGGCTGCTGCTGCTGCTGCGGCTGCTGCTGCGGCGCACGCGGGCCAGTGTGAAGAGTGTAGAGACCCGAGCCCGGCTCAGCAGTAAAGGTAGCAAGAGGCTGGTAAGAGTCTCCGTCAACACACACCGCAGTCTCTCCAGAAGGCTCAAACCACACACCCACGTGCTGACTCACGAGGGGTCGCACGCCCACCAAGTTCCGGGAGAACGAGGGGACGTGAAACCCAGTGAGAGACCCGGAGGGAGCAGCAGGACACGGTAAAGTGGTAGTGTGACGTGCAGTGACTGGTCCCGTAGTGGGATCAGCCAACGCAACAGAAACAGGCGCAGGAAGTGGTGTAAGTGTCGTGCTGTCCCGAAAGAAGCAGTGGGAGGCTCCAGAGTCCAGTGTGAACGACAGCGATGCGTCCCCTGAGGTAGTCACTGGTCTAGAGTCTACACAAGTACCTACACTAGCAACAGGCAACTGAGTAAGACTAGCACCTAAGCTAACAACACCAGAGTAAACAGAGTCAGAAACACTAGAGTCAACAACAGCATACATAGCATGAGGAGCACTAATCAGATCAACTAACTGCTCAGCAGACATGCCCCACAGAGCGGAGCCGTAGCGCTGAACCAGAGGAAGCCAGTCAAGAGCAGGACCGCCAACCCCGTAGGCCAACCGGACCGTGTCAGTGAGCTGAGCAAAGCACTGACCAGGGGGGTGAAAGCGGCCACAAGGGTGGCCCCGACGAGGACCTGTCAGAACCTGATAGGTGCAAGGAGGGTAAGAAGCACCGCGCTGGGGCTGACGCAGCCCCGACCCCGGAGCCAGATGCTGACGCTGCTGCTGCTGAGGCTGGCGGGAGGAAAGGGGCTGCTGCTGCTGCTGAAGGTGCTGCTGACGCTGAGCCTGGTACCACGCCGCTGCTCCACCTAGCGGGGTCGGCAGTACAGGAGGCGACTGACGAGCTCGGGGGTCGCCGCCACCAGCAGGCGCAGTGGAGTCACCAGCCGCTGCACGAGGGGTCTCTCCAGACGCTGCACTCCCACCACCGCCAGTCGCAACAGCACCCCCACTACCTCCGCTACCTCCACCTCCACCTCCACCAGAACTACCTTTCTTGCCCCCCTTGCCGCGGGACCGCGACGCAGTCGTAACAGCAGCCGCAGTCGCGTCAGTAGCGGCAGTGGCGAGAGAGGCAGTGAAGGTGGGTAACTGCGGGACTGTGCACTCGTGGAAGAGTGGGGGGGACACAGTACCAGAGGCGGCAGCTACCGAGCGAAGGTTGCTCTCGACGTCCTTGAGTGCAGACTCAAGGACCTCGATAGTCAGCTCACTAGGGTGCTTCAGCAGAAGCGCGTCACGAACGGAGGCTAGGCGGTCAGGGAGGCTAGTGGCGATGAAATAGACAGTAATCGCCATGGGGGGAGGAAGCAGTGCAAGCTGTGCCTCAGTGCAAGCAGCGCGGTAACTAGCGTTGAGCGAGCGGAGGTGAGCGATCAAGTCAGCAGAGCGCTCAAACGAGGCGAGATCAGGAAACAGGAACGGGAGGAAAAGACGGCCAAGAGAGACAGTAGCGGGAGTAGAGTAGCGGGCCTTAATCGCAGTGAGGTACGCAGCAGCGGTGCGAACCTGAGTAAAGTGGACCTCCTCTGACTCAGGGAGGAGGCTGCTGAGTGCGATGCAGGCCGCAGCGTCACGCGACGTCCAAGCCGTCCGGTCAGCGCGCTGACGGGCAAAGCGAGCGGTAGCAGCGTCGTCAGGGGCAGAGCCTAAAGCTGTAGGCTCGGGGGGCTCGGGGAGGTCACCAGTAGCGTGTGACCAGAGGGTCTCGCCCCCCTGGACCTGACTCTCTAACAGACGGCGAGCGCGAAGAAGCTAGACGGAAAAGTCAAGTGGTCTACCGTCAGCGTCGAAACGAAGAACTCGCGGAGTCGCCATAGTGAGAACTAACGCGAACGAACAGGCGAGTAACAACCGGGGAGAAGAGGCAAATTAGGGTTCAGGTGGGAAGGGGACTCAGTCGCAGCGGAAGAGCGGGCTAGGGTGACGGGCCAGGGCGTAGGGTAGGGCGACGGGCTAGGGCGTAGGGTAGGGCGACGGGCCAGGGCGTAGGGTAGGGCGACGGGCCAGGGCGTAGGGTAGGGCGACGGGCCAGGGCGTAGGGTAGGGCGACGGGCCAGGGCGTAGGGTAGGGCGACGGGCCAGGGCGTAGGGTAGGGCGACGGGCCAGGGCGTAGGGTAGGGCGACGGGCCAGGGCGTAGGGTAGGGCGACGGGCCAGGGCGTAGGGTAGGGCGACGGGCCAGGGCGTAGGGTAGGGCGACGGGCCAGGGCGTAGGGACGGGACAGGGCGACGCGACGGGGCAGGGCGGCGCGATGGGGCAGGGTGACGGGACGGGGCAGGGCGACGCGACGGGGCAGGGCGACGCGACGGGGCAGGGTGACGGGACGGGGCAGGGCGACGCGACGGGGCAGGGCGACGGGACGGGGCAGGGCGACGCGACGGGACAGGGCGACGGGACGGGGGGGAAAGGGCGGGCACGACGTGACGGGGGGAACGGGCGCGACGCGACGGGGGGAAAGAGCGCTAGGCGACGGGGGGAAAGGGCGCGACGCGACGCGGGGGGGGGGGGGGGGAAAGGGCGCTAGGCGACGGGGAGAAAGGGCGCTAAGCGACGGGGGAGAGGGCGCTAGGCTCGGTACTAGGCGCGGTAACAACGGAACCGGTACGAACGAGAGGTAGGATCAGGCTCGGGAGGGACGAACGGAGAACGGAGGAACGGGATCCCACAGGATCCTAACCTAGCTGATACCATGTCAAAATGAGGAATGATGATGCCATTGATGTTGGTTGGGGTACATATAACAAACCCTAACTTCTGTACCCCTTAAGACAAACCTCACTACAGGCTACAACATTTGACAGTACCTTACTCGTTTCTCGTCATCCTTCTCCTCAGCCCTCCCTTTCATCTTTCTGTATCCTAATTTGATGGTGCCCTCTCCTCCCCGCCTCTCCCTTCATCCACGTCCTTGTATCCTGTTGTTGTTGCGGCTTTGTTTTTCTCCCCTCTCCATCTCCCATTGAAGCTTCTGGCAGCATCCGTGGGGGAAGCAGTGGCAGCAACAGCAGTGTCAGCCCTCTCTTCCAGAAAACCACCACTCCTGCCAAACAGCTTACCCCAAAAATACTTGCGTTTTTACATCAAGTTTCAGCATGGCATCTGTACATTGGCAGTGGGCCCTGCAAAGTTGTGGATTCAAAATACACGCTCCATAATGGCCCATGACTGCATTTGCAGCTGCCACAAACCAGTCACCAATCAGACCTGCCCCCTTCAGCACTACGATTCGTTTTTAAGGCGTGTAACTTTTTCCCGAACCATCGGTCCGGACGGTATGCGAAAGTTTCCTGAATGCTCGCATGCTCTCCAATTGGATAACGGGCTCAAACGGTCCGGACCGAGAGCAGGATACCCTATTCGCACGCCGTCCGTACCGAGTGGTTCGGAAAAAAGTTACACGCCCTTAGTTCTGAAAGCAAACCAAAAGCTCTCAGAACCGTGAAGCACCGCAGCAACCAGTCTCGGCCTCCGTCGCGCCACGATTTGTTGCTCTTGCAAGGCACTGTCAGAATTTTCAAGGTTTGGTCGCGGAGTTTCCTCCCCCGCACACGCTTGAGGTCCCGTCACTTTACAGGTACCCCATTTCACGTCTCTCCTTGATCTCACATTCGAATCAAAATTCTTCCAATCCACTTTCTTCCCTCGGCTCTCGCTGCTAGACCGACAGCCCGCATTTTCAGTCGTAGAGTCTGTAGGTCTGCTGCGCATCCGCAAAGAGCGGCCATGGCGGAACCCGAGGCGCCGCCGAGCCTTGTGCCTGTGAGGTTCGGCATCCTAGGTGCGGCGAGTATCGCAAAGAAGGTGGTCCGCGCGATGCGGTGCGTGCCGGGTGTCATCCCGTACGCCATAGGCAGCCGGTCTTACGAGCGAGCCGCGCAGTTCGCTAAGGAGGTCGGCATGGCTGACGACGCCGCGATTTACGGCAGCTACGCTGACGTCATCGCGGATCCGTTAGTAGACGCCGTTTATATCCCGCTGCCGACTGGGCTCCACGTGGAGTGGGTGGTGAAAGCCGCGAATCACGGAAAGCATATTCTGCTAGAGAAGCCCGTGTCGCTGAATGTGGATGATCTGAATACCATGATCGCAGCCGTCGATTCGGCGGGGGTTCAGATCATGGACGGCACGATGTGGATGCACAACCCACGGGCAGCCGAAATGAAAGCGGCCATGCAGGACAGAGAATCTTTCGGGCAGCTCATGCGCGTGACGTCAAATTTCTTCTTCCCAGCATCAGAGGAATTCATGAAGAGAGACATTCGGCTGAAGAAGGATCTAGACGGATTGGGGTGTTTGGGAGACATAGGGTGGTACTGTATCCGAGCGGCACTCTGGGCTGCAGATTTCGAGCCTCCATACAAAGCGGTGGGACTCCCGGATCCCAAGGTTAACGAAGAAGGCGTTTTGATTCGCTGCGGTGGTTACCTGTGCTGGCGAAACGGGTTGACTGCTCTGTTCCAGTGCGGATTCGATTCTCCTAGTTCTCAGCGACTTGAGTTTGCAGGCTCCCTCGCTACAATCACACTCGAAGACTTCACTATCCCCTTCCAGGAGAATAAGGTCGAGTTTGTGATTGAAAAGGGTTCCAGATGGCCAAATTCAGATCTGGTGGTGGAATCAACGGTGGAGAGAAGGGAGGTTGTGCTGACGTGGACGCAGGAGGTGATGATGATTGCTGAGCTGGCACGGATCGTGAGGGGAGTGAGAGGGGGGGGAGGGAGGGCGGCATTGGATCGGAGATGGTTGGATATGATGGTGCAGACACAGCGGGTGGTGTGTGCCGTGCATGACTCGATTGTGCAAGGAGGAGTGCCGCTGATTATAGAAAATGGCCAGGAGAGAAGTCAGGAGTAGCTTGTTACACATACTATCAGGTTTGTGTGCTGTGCATAACGCAATTGCATTGGATGGGCGATGGGTGGATATGATGGCATGATGGTGCAGACACAGCGGGTGGTGTGTGCTGTACACGACTCCACTGCACAGGGAGGAGTGCCTGTGCTTGTAGAGAATGGTCAGGAGAGAAGTCAGGCAAAGGTTCAGGAGTAACTTGGTATGATGGTTACTGAATGAGCCGTGTCTTGCGTCCTGCTTTTGAGTCGACTCAAAAAATGAGCCGTGTCTTGCGTCCAGGGCTCCATCATCCATCCTCCATCACCGTCCTCCCATCCCCGGCACATGTCCTCAATTCCATGCTGACACACTTCAATGGATTTCCAAGCCGCTGACTTGCTTCCCTTTTTTGCTCCTAAAACCAGGTGCAAGTGTTATGGTTACGGTATCGGTCCCGCAGTGTGGTCAAGTGTGCCTTGCCTGGATCACCCTCCCGTGTGCTCTCAGGCCTCTGCTCCCACCCACACCACACCTGCACTACACTAGCTCATTCCAGCTCATTCCTGAAGCAGCACCCAGAGCCCACCCTCCTGTACCAATCATTTTTTTATTGGAAACATACAGTATTTCAAAACTGCTGCCTTGCACTGACTTGTTTTACTTGACGCCTCTCGTCTCGTGCTTGCTGCATGTACGTTCTCAATGTTGGGAATAATAAGTCTTAAGCGCCTCTGTCGTGTCGAAACTCAGGACACCAGCGAAGCAGTCCGAATCGAAGCATCGCGAGTCAACCCTCGGAGGTTAGGGTAACCGCCTGGAGGTTACGAGAAAGTCAAAGGTCAGCGACCTTTGACTTGACAAATACAGCGCGACAGCAAGGACACACAACTGACTCGACATTGAGCAGTTGCCCGAGTCGCACTGTATCGAATCGCAACAGTAAAACGGTTTTAACTTATCTATTCGTATTCCTTGTACTCTTATATAAACCTTTGTATTTGCTTGTTTAATTAACTTACTTTGCCCTCACATACTAGCGCAAGGTGGTTCAAGTACTTTCATTCAAACGCTTCCGCTACTACAATTCTACTCAGACTTAAACTCTACAAAGATCCTAGGGCACTTCAGCCCAACATGGTATGAGAGCAGTTAGAGTTTTAAATTGTTTTCCTTTTAACACTCAATACAAGAAGACATGTCTGCAAGGAAGGAGAGGAGCTCCTCCAACGGCTCTCCAGGCACTACTCCTACTCCACCTCCTGTCTCTGGTCTACAGACAGAGGAAGGGACTACCACGAGACCAGCAGCTGGGTCTACGGAAACGCCCGCAGGCTTCGATCCAAGCATGATGGAAAAGTTCTCCTCCTTCATGTCCTTCTACGAGCAGCACCAGCAAGGAGCACCTGCGCAATCAAACAACAGCAACAACAACAACAACGTGACGCCTATGAGTCTCGATGGCTCATCCTACGCACGCGGGATTCAACAACAACAACAACAACAACAACAACAGCCTACCTTTGCGCCATACGAGCCCCAGCGTGGCTCCGTCAGCTTCATGCCGCAACCGCAACCTGCACCAGCACAAGAAAGGGCATAGGATGCGTTACAAGTTCAACCGCAATTCGCGCATGTCTTAAAACTACAAACGACAAAGCCTTTCGACGGCAAAGATTTCTTCACCTGGTCGTTCGAGTTCGAACTGATGATGGAAGGAGCACAGATTCTCGGCTTCTTCGACGGGTCCCTGCCATATCCAACAAACGGGACGCAATATGAGAAGCAGCAATATACTTATCAATCGATGATGGCGTACACGATACTGCTGAGGAACATCACCCCGACCCAGCAGCAGAACATCAGGACTTACCGAGGCTACGGCAACTCCGCGGAGCTCGCGTACAACCACCTGAAGAACCTGTATCAAGCAACAGACAGCGTAAATCAAAGCAGGTTAATGGCGCAGCTGACAACGATTGAAATGAAACCAGGCGAGAAAGGCATGGCTTATATCAGCCGCTGTCGCGAACTGCGCGACAAGCTTCTTCGATGCGGCGGGTCGATTTCAGAAGACGCCTTTGTCACGGTGGTCATCGGCGGTCTCGGCTCCCACTGGCGCTCCACTCGCGCCATATTACGAGCACACGGGAGGATTTCCGAAGCGGCACTCTGCGCCAAAATTCATGCTGAGCAGCAAGACATGGACCTGCAAGAAGAAAGACATAAGAAGAAAGCATTAGCACCAGAGTTTGCGTTTCACACTCAGCGACGATACAACGGCAACAACAACCGTCAACAACAAGTAAAGACAGTACCTCCGTTCTGCCACATCTGCAAGACTTCGGGCCATCCTCGCACGCATTGCCCGTGTCGTCAGACAACACCACAGCGACAACTCCGGCCTTCAAGCTCCCAAGTTGCTTCAACGCAAGCAAGTCCGACGACCACAATCCAAGCTTCAACGACTTCAACTGGACAACCTGCACAAGGAACAAGAAGCATCGTCAATTGCATGGTGAAGATAACCGATTCGTGCACAACCAAGTCACCACCCCACTACTCACCGGAAGAAGAGCTCGACAACAGGACGCCTTGCCGTGAATCACTCCAGCCGAATCCGACGTACGCCGCCATCGCTCAAAGCGAACCATCTGGCCAAGACACTTGGTTCTTGGATAGTTGCTGCGGACAACACATGTGCTCCTCCAGGCGCTTCGTTCAACGCGAACATCGACTCCAGCGAGAAGTAGTCATCACGGTCGCCAACAATCAGAACCTGCGCACACGACGACAAGGAGCGGTACAGCTTCAGTCACGAGAAACAAATGTCATATTACACATGTCAAAGGTACTTATCGCGGAGGGACTAGGCTACAACTTACTGAGTGTCAGCCAGTTGATGGCGAAAGGCATCCACTTGGAAGCCGACAGCACCACCCAGGAGTTTAAGTTATACCACGGGAAGGGCGGCCTCTACATCGGAAAAGCAGTGTTGAAGAATAACGTCTTCGTCCTTGATTCCGTCCCCGACCTGGGCACTGCAGACAGCGACGCCATCGTCAACTTCACCGACTGGACTCATCCTCCGGATCTCGATCCCGACTTCAGCCCAGGAGGTTTCTGGTACTCGCACACCATCCCTGAAGCAGAACGAACACGAGCATTAGCAACGATTCAACAAACGACAGCAGCAGAGACAACATCGACAGCAGAAGAGACAACATCGGCAGCAGCACAACCATCATCGGCAGCAGCAGAACCATCATCGAAAGCAGCAGGACCAACGACACCAGTCATCGAAACACCACCAACACCCGCACAACAGCTGAACCCGACTCAACGAGAAGTCCACCGAAGCGCAAACATCGTCGCCAACTTCTACTCCAACTCTGACGCGTATCAACGCTCACCCGGACATCGCGCTCCTGAAGACATCTGGCACGCACGCACAGGACATCCAAGCAATACGGTGTTAAACAACACGATACGAGCAGGAGTTCTAGACAAGGATTCACTACTACTACTCGACGGCAGAGAACTTCAACGTGCACGAGGGACTTGCCTCATCTGCCCCGAAGCCGACTTACCCCATCGACCGTTTTCCTCTCACCACAACCCGAGCGCACCTGCATACGCACCACTCGAGAAAGTTTACTGCGACATCCTCTACAATCGAGAACCAGGACAAGTCACCTACAATTACACGATCACCTTCATCGACGCCGCCACTCGATACGTCTGGCATCGCAACCTACCCAGCCGCGACATGGCACTCGCAGCATTCGCCGCTTGGCTACCGGTAGCAGAGAGGGAATCAAGAACACAACTGAAAAGCTTCCAGTCAGACGGAGGAGGAGAGTACACCTCTCAGCGCTTCAAGCAGTACCTGGCGGAAAGAGGGATCAAGCAACTCCTCTCCCTTCCCTACGCACATCAGCAGCAAGGAGTAGCAGAAAGAATGAACAGGACTCTGCAAAACAGCATGCGCAAACTGCTACGTGGCATGCGGCTACCCAACCACCAGTGGCCTGCAGCAATGGACCACGCTGTCATGCTGCACAACTTGTTGTCGTCGTCGTCACTCCCGAACAACGCCTCACCGCATCTGCTGTGGACAGGGAAGCTGGGCAGCACAAAAATGTTACGAGTTTTCGGATGCATGGTACAGTACAGACCCCTAGAAGCACGAGCGGGAAGATTTTCACAACGGGCACAGTGGGGACTACACCTCGGCATCGAGAAACATTACAACGCGTGGAAAATCTTCGACGTCCACACAAAGGAAACAGTAGCAGCACGTGATGTGATCTTCTACGAGCGACTCACCCTTCAGACGTACCTCGCCAACTTGCACGAGAATTGGAACCTCACAGGTGGCTTTCGTGGTGACCGAGCCTTTGCCTCAGCAGCGGACGAAGCAGACTGGGATGAACAGAACGTCGACAACGCATCGGAAGAAGCCGGACCTCTCCCGTACTGCTCCGTCGACGTGCCCATGGACGAGGAAAATCCTCGCGACAGTAACAACGCCGAAGTCTTCTATCACTTCGCCGACAACGGTTACGTAACACCTGCGACAGTCAACACAAATGAAGCAGAAAGGATAGGGCCAAATTTCATACCCGATCCAGAAGCAGGAGACGAAGCAGCTTATCCAGAGGATACAACACTCCCCCGATACTCACAGACTGGGCTGCAAATCCTTGGTCTCGTCACCGCAGTCCACGGGAACACAGGCAGCACGCTTCCTAAAGAGCCTGCGACGGTCCAGCAGGCTCTGGGGGGGGAACACAGGGAGAAATGGCGTGAAGCCATGGACAGGGAATTAAAAGCATTAGAGGAACGCAACACCTGGAAGGTCGTTCCCGCAAGCGTGGCACGGAACAAGACCATTCTCACCGGGAAATGGGTCTTCCGCATCAAGACGAAAGCTGACGGCACAATCGAGAAGTTCAAAGCACGCTGGGTCGTGCGTGGATTCGACCAGGAGCAAGGACGAGACTTCACCGAAACATTCGCCCCAGTCAGTCGACATACCTCTCTCCGAATCCTTCTCGCCGTCGCCGCCATGAAGAAGAAGAAGCTGCGACAAATCGATGTTGCCAACGCATTCCTCTACGCACCCGTCGACGCCGAAATCTTCGTCGAACTCCCACACGGCACTCACGGAAATCCTAATCAGATCTGCCAACTACTGAAATCGCTCTACGGAATCAAACAAGCCCCGCGACTGTGGCAATAGCACCTACACACCCGCCTCACTCGCATCGGATTCCGCCAACTACCTCACGACCAAGGAATGTACCGCCTCACCAAAGGCGCAGACTACATTCTACTGATCGTCTATGTCAACGACTTGCTCTACATCGGCTCCACCGACGACGTCACCACCTGGTTCGAAGGGGAGCTGCAGAAAGACCTCACGCTCACGGTCTCTTCTACCGTGACCCAGTACCTCGGGCTCAACATCCGCGAAGAAGAAAATGCGATCTACCTAAGCGCCGAGAAATACGCCAACACCATCGCCAAACGTTTTTCACTCACACCTACCGCCATCGCCACACCATACCGCTACACGGCAGGAAACGACAAGGGAAATTCCGCTCCACTCAAAGCTGCCGGAATACGAGACTACCAAAGGAAACTGGGCTGCCTTCTCTTCGCAGCTGTCACCTGTCGCCCGGATCTATCCTACTCCGCAAGCCAACTCGCCACCTATCTCAAGAAATCCGAAGCAAAGCATCTGGCGGAGCTCGATCGCGCACTACACTACTTCGTGAGCACACCGACGATCGGCCTGACTTACTACAAAGGCGAAGCTACGACGACGAAACTAATCGGCTACGTCGATGCTGACCATGCCGGCGATTCTGATAACAGGCGCTCTCGCACTGGCTACGTCTATCGTCTCGAGCCTATCGGACCTATCTCCTGGCAGTCGAGTAAGCAGGAACTGTTAGAATAGTAGGAGGTGGGGCCTAGGCTTAGTAGCCTAGGCCCACACTAGGAGGTAGGCAAGGTGCTTTAGAACTAGGACTTAGGGTTTGGGAAGGAGAATTGGAAGGAAGGAATGATGGACTAGCAAGCAGCAGGACACACAAATAGAAAACCCTAAGGGGTTGTACTCAGTATTGAGCACCCCACTGCAGGCTAGACAAATAACATTCTGACACACCCCCATAGCCAAAGTGGGGTGTAATCAGCAGAGCAGGCAAAGCAGTACAAGCTCAGGGTGGATCACAATGTCACCACACATTCTGAGCACAAGTTAAAGAAACAATAGTTTAAAGTTAAGAAATATGAGCAAAGCTGGTGGTAGTCACAACGGGCAAGTGAGGAGGAGGTGAGAGAGTGAGGGGAGAGGAGATAGGAGGCGACGGCTGAAGCTGCAGACACACGGGCAACAGGAGGCAGTCTGGCACAGCGGCTACCGGACAGCGCCCGGACTACAGGAGTAACAGGCCCCGCGGCTCAAATAGCGGCGGACGGGCAACGGACCCACAGGCGGCTGGCGTAGAAGTCTAGCTCACTGGGCTATCGGGACAGCGCCCCGGACTACAGGTGCTGCGGAAGACAGTACGGCAACTTCCATGCAGCTTCCCCAAACAGTCCCACCCCCCTGACACACACCCGCTGCTACACCGCTAGCTCCACTCCCACGCACGCCCCTTCAACCCTAAACCCCAGTCTCCCACACAACCACCCCCCTCAGCGACAGCTGCAGCAGTGGGAGACGAAGGAGGAGGACGAACAAAGGGAGGAATGCACACCAGCCACCCCCATACCCGCAAACGGGGGGGGGGGAGAGCAGAAACAGTGCGCACGAGGGCGCAGACAGTAGCAGAGCGCACGAGGGCGCAAGGACGAGGCACGAGCAGCACCAGGCACATGCAGCACAGGGCAGCACAGGCACGGGCAGCACAGGGCAGCACAGGCACGGGCAGCAACAGGCACAGGCAGCACAGGCACGGGCAGCACAGGCACGGGCAGCACAGGCACGGGGAGCACAGGCACAGGCAGCAACAGGCACAGGCAGCACAGGGCAGCACAGGCACGGGCAGCAACAGGCACAGGCAGCACAGGCACGGGCAGCACAGGCACAGGGCAGCACAGACACGGGCAGCACAGGCACAGGCAGCACAGGGCAGCACAGGCACGGGCAGCAGCAGGCACGGGCAGCACAGGCACGGGCAGCACAGGCACGGGCAGCACAGGCACGGGCAGCACAGGCACAGGCAGCAACAGGCACGGGCAGCACAGGGCAGCACAGGCACGGGCAGCAACAGGCACAGGCAGCAGCAGGCACAGGCAGCACAGGGCAGCACAGGCACGGGCAGCAACAGGCACAGGCAGCACAGGCACGGGCAGCACAGGCACGGGCAGCACAGGCACGGGGAGCACAGGCACAGGCAGCAACAGGCACAGGCAGCACAGGGCAGCACAGGCACGGGCAGCAACAGGCACAGGCAGCACAGGCACGGGCAGCACAGGCACAGGGCAGCACAGGCACGGGCAGCACAGGCACAGGCAGCACAGGGCAGCACAGGCACGGGCAGCAGCAGGCACGGGCAGCACAGGCACGGGCAGCACAGGCACGGGCAGCACAGGCACGGGCAGCACAGGCACAGGCAGCAACAGGCACGGGCAGCACAGGCACGGGCAGCAACAGGCACAGGCAGCAGCAGGCACAGGCAGCACAGGGCAGCACAGGCACGGGCAGCAACAGGCACAGGCAGCACAGGCACGGGCAGCACAGGCACGGGCAGCACAGGCACGGGCAGCAACAGGCACAGGCAGCAACAGGCACAGGCAGCACAGGGCAGCACAGGCACGGGCAGCAACAGGCACAGGCAGCACAGGCACGGGCAGCACAGGCACGGGCAGCACAGGCACGGGGAGCACAGGCACAGGCAGCAACAGGCACAGGCAGCACAGGGCAGCACAGGCACGGGCAGCAACAGGCACAGGCAGCACAGGCACGGGCAGCACAGGCACAGGGCAGCACAGGCACGGGCAGCACAGGCACAGGCAGCACAGGGCAGCACAGGCACGGGCAGCAGCAGGCACGGGCAGCACAGGCACGGGCAGCACAGGCACGGGCAGCACAGGCACGGGCAGCACAGGCACAGGCAGCAACAGGCACGGGCAGCACAGGCACGGGCAGCAACAGGCACAGGCAGCAGCAGGCACAGGCAGCACAGGGCAGCACAGGCACGGGCAGCAACAGGCACAGGCAGCACAGGCACGGGCAGCACAGGCACGGGCAGCACAGGCACGGGCAGCAACAGGCACAGGCAGCAACAGGCACAGGCAGCACAGGGCAGCACAGGCACGGGCAGCAACAGGCACAGGCAGCACAGGCACGGGCAGCACAGGCACGGGCAGCACAGGCACGGGGAGCACAGGCACAGGCAGCAACAGGCACAGGCAGCACAGGGCAGCACAGGCACGGGCAGCAACAGGCACAGGCAGCACAGGCACGGGCAGCACAGGCACAGGGCAGCACAGGCACGGGCAGCACAGGCACAGGCAGCACAGGGCAGCACAGGCACGGGCAGCAGCAGGCACGGGCAGCACAGGCACGGGCAGCACAGGCACGGGCAGCACAGGCACGGGCAGCACAGGCACAGGCAGCAACAGGCACGGGCAGCACAGGCACGGGCAGCAACAGGCACAGGCAGCAGCAGGCACAGGCAGCACAGGGCAGCACAGGCACGGGCAGCAACAGGCACAGGCAGCACAGGCACGGGCAGCACAGGCACGGGCAGCACAGGCACGGGCAGCAACAGGCACAGGCAGCAACAGGCACAGGCAGCACAGGGCAGCACAGGCACGGGCAGCAACAGGCACAGGCAGCACAGGCACGGGCAGCACAGGCACGGGCAGCACAGGCACGGGGAGCACAGGCACAGGCAGCAACAGGCACAGGCAGCACAGGGCAGCACAGGCACGGGCAGCAACAGGCACAGGCAGCACAGGCACGGGCAGCACAGGCACAGGGCAGCACAGGCACGGGCAGCACAGGCACAGGCAGCACAGGGCAGCACAGGCACGGGCAGCAGCAGGCACGGGCAGCACAGGCACGGGCAGCACAGGCACGGGCAGCACAGGCACGGGCAGCACAGGCACAGGCAGCAACAGGCACGGGCAGCACAGGCACGGGCAGCAACAGGCACAGGCAGCAGCAGGCACAGGCAGCACAGGGCAGCACAGGCACGGGCAGCAACAGGCACAGGCAGCACAGGCACGGGCAGCACAGGCACGGGCAGCACAGGCACGGGCAGCAACAGGCACAGGCAGCAACAGGCACAGGCAGCACAGGGCAGCACAGGCACGGGCAGCAACAGGCACAGGCAGCACAGGCACGGGCAGCACAGGCACGGGCAGCACAGGCACGGGGAGCACAGGCACAGGCAGCAACAGGCACAGGCAGCACAGGGCAGCACAGGCACGGGCAGCAACAGGCACAGGCAGCACAGGCACGGGCAGCACAGGCACAGGGCAGCACAGGCACGGGCAGCACAGGCACAGGCAGCACAGGGCAGCACAGGCACGGGCAGCAGCAGGCACGGGCAGCACAGGCACGGGCAGCACAGGCACGGGCAGCACAGGCACGGGCAGCACAGGCACAGGCAGCAACAGGCACGGGCAGCACAGGCACGGGCAGCAACAGGCACAGGCAGCAGCAGGCACAGGCAGCACAGGGCAGCACAGGCACGGGCAGCAACAGGCACAGGCAGCACAGGCACGGGCAGCACAGGCACGGGCAGCACAGGCACGGGCAGCAACAGGCACAGGCAGCAACAGGCACAGGCAGCACAGGGCAGCACAGGCACGGGCAGCAACAGGCACAGGCAGCACAGGCACGGGCAGCACAGGCACGGGCAGCACAGGCACGGGGAGCACAGGCACAGGCAGCAACAGGCACAGGCAGCACAGGGCAGCACAGGCACGGGCAGCAACAGGCACAGGCAGCACAGGCACGGGCAGCACAGGCACAGGGCAGCACAGGCACGGGCAGCACAGGCACAGGCAGCACAGGGCAGCACAGGCACGGGCAGCAGCAGGCACGGGCAGCACAGGCACGGGCAGCACAGGCACGGGCAGCACAGGCACGGGCAGCACAGGCACAGGCAGCAACAGGCACGGGCAGCACAGGCACGGGCAGCAACAGGCACAGGCAGCAGCAGGCACAGGCAGCACAGGGCAGCACAGGCACGGGCAGCAACAGGCACAGGCAGCACAGGCACGGGCAGCACAGGCACGGGCAGCACAGGCACGGGCAGCAACAGGCACAGGCAGCAACAGGCACAGGCAGCACAGGGCAGCACAGGCACGGGCAGCAACAGGCACAGGCAGCACAGGCACGGGCAGCACAGGCACGGGCAGCACAGGCAGCAGGCAGCACAGGGCATACCGGGTCCAGGGGCGGCGTCTGCTGGGGCGGCTGCACCTGGGGCTGCTGCTGCAGTGGCGGCTCCAGGGGCTGCTGCTGCTGGGGCGGCTGCTGCTGGGGCGGCTGCTCCATGGGCTGCTGCTGCAGTGGCGGCTCCAGGGGCTGCTGCTGCAGGGGTGGCCGTTGCAGGGGCTGCTGCCGTTGGGGCGGCTGCTCCTGGGGCTGCTGCTGCAGTGGCGGCTCTAGGGGCTGCTGCTGCAGGCTCTGGCGGCAGCTGCTGCTGCTGGGCGGCGGCGGCTGCTGCTGCAGAGCGGCGGCGGCTGCTGCTGCAGAGCCGCGGCAGCTGCTGCTGCAGGCGCGGTGGCGGCAGCTGCTGCAGGCCTGGCGGCGGCTGCTGCTGCTGGGTGGTGGCGGCCGCTGCTGTAGGCTCTGGCGGCGGTTGCTGCTGGCTCTGACGGCGCCCCGCGGGTCCTGCACGGACGCCGCGACGAGCAGGGGCGACGCCCCTCGGGTCCCGCACGGACGTCGCGACAAGTAGGGCGGCGCCGCGCGGGTCCCGCACTGACGTCGCGACGAGCAGGGCGACGCCGCGCGGGTCCCGCACGGGCGTCGCGACGAGCAGCGGGGAGGGCAGCGCGCAGGCCCCCCCGAGGGCGCTTCGACAGACGGGAAAACCGCCGCGCGCCCCGAGCGCACGGCGGGATTAAAAAACTCCGAAACCCTAAAAAAAATTCGCCGCGCGCTCCGCGCGCGGCAGGAAGAAGGACTGCAGCGGAAGCATAGGGGCCCACAGGCCAAGGGAGAACGGGCTCTGATAACATGTTAGAATAGTAGGAGGTGGGGCCTAGGCTTAGTAGCCTAGGCCCACACTAGGAGGTAGGCAAGGTGCTTTAGAACTAGGACTTAGGGTTTGGGAAGGAGAATTGGAAGGAAGGAATGATGGACTAGCAAGCAGCAGGACACACAAATAGAAAACCCTAAGGGGTTGTACTCAGTATTGAGCACCCCACTGCAGGCTAGACAAATAACATTCTGACAGGAACTAATCGCTCTCTCTTCAGCTGAAGCAGAATATATCGCCCTCTGTTCAGCCACCAAGGAAGGACTCTACCTTCGCGAGCTGCTGGAAGAAGCAAAGTTAGCCGAGTTACCCAACTTCACCCTATTCTGCGACAACCAATCTGCGATTCGCATCGCCAACAAAAGCGGATTCGCGAACAGAACGAAGCATATCGCTCTGCGATACTTCTTCGTGAAGGACGAGATCGAGAAAAGGAAACTCAAATTATCCTACTGTCCCACGTCCGAGATGGCAGCCGATTATTTGACCAAGAAGCTCGGAAAACAGAAGTTCGAGTACTGCATGATGCTGACCGGACAAGGCCACGTCACCATCAGCGACACTCCAGAAGCGAAGGGGAGTGTTGGGAATAATAAGTCTTAAGCGCCTCTGTCGTGTCGAAACTCAGGACACTAGCGAAGCAGTCCGAATCGAAGCATCGCGAGTCAACCCTCGGAGGTTAGGGTAACCGCCTGGAGGTTACGAGAAAGTCAAAGGTCAGCGACCTTTGACTTGACAAATACAGCGCGACAGCAAGGACACACAACTGACTCGACATTGAGCAGTTGCCCGAGTCGCACTGTATTGAATCGCAACAGTAAAACGGTTTTAACTTATCTATTCGTATTCCTTGTACTCTTATATAAACCTTTGTATTTGCTTGTTTAATTAACTTACTTTGCCCTCACATACTAGCGCAAGGTGGTTCAAGTACTTTCATTCAAACGCTTCCGCTACTACAATTCTACTCAGACTTAAACTCTACAAAGATCCTAGGGCACTTCAGCCCAACACTCAGAAGGTCTCAGAACATGAGTGAAGGAGCTTGTCTGTGAATACACTTAATAGATACAATGCATTTCATTGCACTATTATCCACATCAACCATATCCCATGTCTCCTCCACGCCGTATCATTGGCTGCAAGATGTCCTGGTGACTGCGGCACTCGAAGCAGCACATGCCACAACTTTTGACGAGCAATCCACGGACCACGGCTCGTAAAGTTGTGAGTCACAGCTCATGCGAGCATGAAGGCGGGCACTCGCTTGAACCCCCCGCCCTCCGCCATGCCGGTGCTAGCAACCCCCTCCAGCATGTCAAAGGCGGCACACCATGCACCTTCCAGCTCCCCATGCCACCGCTCTCCAAACGCCTTCTTCAGTGCCTTCATGAACCCCGTTCGAAATACCTGGTGGCGGGGGGAGTGAGGGGACAAGGGGGCCAGAAAAGCGGTTAGTGATTCATAAGGCTTCAATGATCATGAGGCGGTTAGCAATTGTGCTGAGCGGGTGACAAGAGAACGGGTGAGGCCTACTCTCATCCCTTGCCCACTCGATGCTTCACCCTCTCTTGTGATCAGTGTCTCTCATTTCCACCCTTTCCTCCACTACGTACCAGCTCTCACGCCCTCAATACTACCGTAATCCTTTGCCATTCCCACTCCCCAATCCTTATTCCATGCTTCCCACCGGAAAGTCGTTGCCATCAATGCCGTAGTTGAGGTGCCGCCCGCCCAGCGCCTTGAAGAAAGGCACAGATTTCTCCACCTGGGCCGGGTCGTCCCACTTGCAAAACGCCTCACACATCTGACCCGGGAGGGGAGGGGAGGGGCGAGGGAGGGGGGGAGAGGGGGGTTGTAATGCACGAGACTGTGTGTCCACCTCAGCAGGGTCGTCCCACCTCCAGAGCGCCTCACACATATGACCCAGTGACCAGGGATAGGGAACGGTGGTATGAGCGGGGAGGGAAAGGGGGGAGCGTATGCCCAGGGAGTGAAGGAGGATGAACGGGACAGTGAGTGGGAGAACGACCTCTCACAGAGTGTGTGTGGGAGAGCGGAGAGTGGGGGAGGGGGTGAAGGTGGGGAGCAATGGTAGTGTGAGGAGAGGAGAGCGGATAGGGGGATGGTGGAGACTCGCTGCTCTGACTCACACCATCCTAAGCATTCTTCCCTTTCCCCTCCAACCGCCTTTCTCCCAGCACCATACCATGCGGAAGGACATAGTGGCATGAACAGTACCATGCGGAAGGACAGGTGGCATGAACAGTACCATGCAGAAGGGCATGGTGGCATGAACAGTACCATGCGTGCGGAAGGACATGGTGGCATGAACAGTACCATGCGGAAGGACATGGTGGCATGTGCGTTGAGCTTGATGTTGACCGGCGCCGGCTCGCTTGACTTGCGCACCATTGAGAAGAGGCGCTTGGCGTCCGGTACCATGTCAAATATGCTGGAGGGGGAGAGGTAGAGGGAGAGGGGGAGAGTAGGGGGAGAGTAGGGGATGGGGAGAGAAGAGGGGGGAGGGGAGTGGGAGGGTGTTTTGAAGCATTGGAGCATTGGATTAAGGAACCATGGAGAAGAGGCGCTTGGCGTCCGGTAGTACCATGTCAAATATGCTGGGGGGGGAGAGGAAAACCAAGGGTGAAAGAGGAGGATGGGGGTTGGTGGGAAGAAATGGGGGTGGGTAGTAGTATGGGATTGTGGAGTTGGGTGGAAGGGTAGTTGGGGCTGGTTTAACTGGTTGAGGGCCATGTAACGCAATGTGGGGCTCTGAGCAACAGAACAAAAAGCATGTGTAACGCATTGGAGGTACGTTACAGCGACAGCTCCATCCGTACGTACGTGAGGTACATTATGATGGCGTGTTTGTCCAGATCAGGCTCCAGCTCAGCGTACGACTCTCGTATCAACTCGCCCTGCAGACTCGTCAGCACCGTCTGCCTCTCAGCGTCCGCCACGTGGATCGGCGGCCCCTCCATACTGGGATCTGCGAAGCTGCTGATCTTGTAACTCGGGATCGGCGGGCCGCTCAGATCGTCGTCATTGTGATAAGGGAAGTTCGACATGGTGACGAACGCGACGCGACGAAACGTCGCTAAGAAAGGGTGAAAGCGTCGGTGTGGGAAACTTCCAAAAGTAGACCCGCGTTGGTGTGGGAACTACCAGAAGTAGACCGGCGTCGCTGTGGGAACACGCTCTGTTGTGATGCCGCGCTTGCTGCTACGCGCGTATCACGGCGACCTCGACATTTCCGCGGCTCTCGAGCCACGACGCCGCATGGCGTGCGCGAGAGGAAACGAAGGGATGGTCGCCGTACTCGAGTTCTCGTGCTCGTTGCAGGTGTAGCGCGATCCGGTCGGGCGGTGACTCGGAGGATCTCAGACCTCACCAGCAGCGCCAAGGCTGCGCGGCTCGGAGGACGCTCGGTTTGGAAGATTCGAGTTGAAAAGGAGAGCGAGGAGGGGCGAAGAGGTTAATAAATACGGTATATGTGTTTATTGCTTCAGGCATAAGCTTCGCGGTCTGTCAATAGCTTCAGCTAGCGCGACACGGAGTGTTTGCTTCAGCAGTGGGCTCGAGTGAGCGAAACGAAACGGAATGGGAATCGGATGAAGCAGAAAGGAGGGGTGGACAGACAAGTGCAACGGGGCACCGAGAGCAGCGCGGGGCCTCGAGGTCGGCTGCGGCTGCATGCGTTCTGGTAAATTGCAGAGAGAGCTGTAGCGGTGCAGTATGGTGGAAGCTACGGTTCAACACTTCGGCGGTTCAACACTTTGTCTATTTAAGTCCTTCACAACCTATCACCGACGCGATAAGGGAGAGACGTGCATGGTAAATCCAAATTATCATTATAATATGCACAGGTTAACATAATAGAGGGCCACCATGAAGGACCTATACTAAAAGTGCTTCTAGGATTCTAAACTTATGGCATCTATCAGGTGTTAGGCTAATATACCGTATATGCTCCTGCCTTGACGGCTTCCCAACCATGGCTGGGTATGGCAACTGACCCATAGCATGAGCATGCCTGCTGCTTGCTGCCTTGGACGGAGGTGTATGGACGCACACATACCACCATCCATCCCCTTGTGCCATGTATATACTGCCACCTTTCCGCTGCTGCTGCTGCTACTGCCTACATGCATGTCCTATGCAGCTTCTCGAGAAACGAAATTCTTTTCACTTAGCTTGTTCCGCTCATTCCTGAAACCCGGTGAACCCCTCCAGGGGCCTCCAATCCACCAGTTTCATCACCTCCAGCTCAGCAGCCTGCAGGCGCTTTGCTGGCGCGCGGGCAACTGCTGCCACGTCAGACGCCCTAGGCAGCGTCTTCTGGTTGTCGTCTAGCTTAGCGGCCGTCCACATGCACGCCGCTAGCGTCACCCTCAGCGAGTCGGCTGCCACCCGGCCAGGCTGGAGCTTTCGCAGAACCTTCTGGAAGATGTGAAACGCCAGATCGGACACGTGGGGCCCACGGAGCGCCAGCCTGGCATACCAGGAGGAGAGAACACGCTTCAGTCGGGCAGCTGCAAGCTGCCCAAGAACATTCCGACCCTGCCCGTCCGCACAGCTTCCCCCCAAGACGTTCTGCGTCTCACCCGCTACTTGCTCCTCCTGCCGCTGTCGCTTTCCCGTGGCGGCGTCAGGTACGGTTTGATTCTCGTTGCAGAGGGATTCGTTTAGATCTGGAACGACACCCGCTGCGTCGGCAACCGCGCAAGCATGGGCGAGTGCGGGCTGCTGTTGCGAAAGAGTTCCGTTAGTCAACGAAGGCGTTACAACAGCACTCTCTGTCGCTCCTTCGCTCGGAGTTGCCGTTGGGAATAGCTGGAGGGTCTCCGGAGGCGACGAGGAGGAGGAAGAGGAGGATAAGGGGCAATGGTGCTGTCCCTGATTGGCTGTACCCAGGCTGTTCTGCGACAGGGTTGCTCCTGCCAGTAGCAGCGAAGGGAGCTGCTGCTGCTGAGATTGCATCTGCGAAAGTTTTGCGTGGGGAGGGTACCGGGAAAACGCCAAAAGATCTTCCATGTTGGCCTTGTGACGCTTGGCGAGAGACTGCGATTCAGGTGCGACGTTCAACGGGGGCGACGGGACGAACGCAGAGCTAGAAAGGGCGGCTGCGTATGTGTGGAGGGGGAGAAGCGACGCAGCCATGCTCGCGCTCATCGCGCACGGGGTGTGGAAAACCGCGTTTCCGGTAATGCCGCTAACCGCGCCGACGGCTAGACACGAGTCGCACAGAACCTGCGTCTGCGCCGCAGCGGCGGGTTGATGGAACGGCGAGGGCGCCTCCCAGCTGGTGGGGCTGCTGCAGAGCGCGCAGAGCAGGTGGCGCGAGTGGCGGAGCACGATGAAGTTCGCCGAGTGCACCGCCGCGTCGCACGTCGCACAGAGGAACGCGGAATCCGCGTCGCAGCGGAGAGCGGCCGGCTGGGTGCAGAGCTCGCAGGAGCGCTGAGAGGGAGAGGAGCGGAGCGAGGCAGTGCAGTGCTGGTGGTGGAGCTGGGGAAAGGGGAGGGAGCTGAGCGTAGGAGGCATTGCTAGGAAGGGTTGAGACAAGCCGTGGCAAAAGGAATGCGTTGCGAGAGAAGCCATGTCTGAAGCTGGGAGACTAGGAATCGAGACTGGTATGTGAAAGGCCATAACGAGAGCGTTGGTGGAAAAATGTGTCGAGGATTGAAGCGGGACGAGATTGTGCAGGAAAATGGGGCACAGAAGCTTATCAAAACAAATCACTGGCCGCTTGCCACTAGAATGTGGTGCAAAGAACAGGGAATGTGAGGTGGCGTGCGACCGTGGGACGTCGGGCGGCGTGCGGAAGAAGCGATGCAAACTGCTCGCTGGTTCCGACCAAGTTGCGGTTGTGAGCTTTGGGAGAAAGGCTGCTGTGCGTATGTAGTCGCGAGCGCGAGAGAAGGATGGTCTGTTTGGTTCAGTTGGGAACGCAAGGCGCTGAGCGAGCACGCTGAGGGAAAGAGAGGAGGGCGAGGAAGGAAAGAGAAGGAAAGGCATGGGATGGGTCGTTGAAGCATGTGGCTGCTCTTCGCTGCTCTGCCCATGATTTCAGCATGTTAGGTCTGGCTGTCAATGTGGTGTAGACTGTAGATGCGTCATTCCTGCCACCGCCATTTTCCATGTGCAACCATCATCACCAATTTCCTCAAGTTCCTTTCTTCCTCTCTCGGTCTCCCTGGATTTTGTTTGTTGTGTGACTCTGCTTGCGTGTGTCTTGTTGTGGTGATACGAACCGAAGCGTGATGCACGTGTCGGTTGGAGATTAGACCTCTTTCCATGGAACGGCTCTTCAAGCCACACAGCGTTTCGGCTCTCCACCGAACATCATCTCCTTCTCCCAGTCTCATTCGTCCACGGCAGGTCCACCTCGGCTCGTTGGGCTCATGTTTCGTGCGCTGCCTGCTGATGTGGCTCCTGCTTCATGTGACCCACTCTTCCCCAGATGGCTGCATCCTCCCCCTTCTACGCGGACTTTGTGGAAAAATACAGCTGGGTCACTGTAAAGATGCTTGGCTGATGTCATACGTCGCCTTCATAACCAGTCTCCTGCCTCGCTGACTCGGTGGTGCTGAGCATTTCTGCCACATCACCATAGCTGCTGAGGACTTTGTGTCACGTGGCCGCGCCGCTACTTTGCCTGTTAGACCTGTGTGGCTTAGGGAATGTGGAAACCCGAGAAAACTACGCGAAAGTCGATCATGAGAAATTGAGGGCCATTCGAAACGCGTCTCGGAGCTTGGTGGGAGGCGAGCTCGACCTAGATACTGGCCACACAAGCAAGACCAATCGGGTCTGTCCACCCTCGTGTGGATGGCTCGATGCACTTTTGTGACCTTCCAGAGAACCGAAGCTTACGCCTGTTCCTCTGGGACCGCAGACGCGGAGGATTCTGCTTAGCCGTGTCGCTTTCCGAAAACTTGGGGATCGGACGAATGGTTTCGCAGCATATCACGTGGAGCGCTACCGTATTTCTCGACTGGCTTCTCTTGTGAGTGGTTGGCGCTGAGGTGGCCCTTGTTTAGTTTGACAGGAATGGATGGAGCCTCTGAACCTGGCTAGGACTCAACAACCAAGGTTCTTTCCCGAAGGGCAGGAATATTCACGTGGGCTTGACGACATAATATCAGATGCCAGATCATGCCGTATAATTTCAAATCGTGGGCAGAACAGTTAACGAATTTACATAGACAGAACAGATGTTTTTCGTGCGAACTCCTTATTTAAATTTACTTAAAAATACTATTCTTTGCATATTGTTAAGAACCAGCAAGTTCAGATTACTAGGAAGTCACAACTGACGTCACGCAAGATTTTGCTCACGTGACACGTGGTTTTAACCAATTAAGCTTTGATATGAACAAGAATCACGTGAAATTGCAATCAACCCGACAAGATGGTCGTACTGTATCGAACAAGGTCGCCTAAATCTGTCGCAATCATTAGTACGAATGGCACAACTAAACTTGACAGCGCGTCAAACAGCTAGCTTTTCCTTTGATTGCGGGCAGCTCATTCCCATTGCAGAGAAACAGCATCACTTTTCCAAACCCAAACTACCGGCCAGGGGCGGGACGCAACCCTGAAAGTTCTTGCAACAACGACTGCCCGAAATCGAATTCGCACAACTCGCGTGCGAACGAATGCATCGCCCCTCCACACCACACAATCCACTCCCAAACCAAGCCAGCTTCTTCGACATGGGAGCTTCTTTAATCACAACGCAGTAGCCCAAACTTCCCATTACCATAAAACTAAAACAAAGATATACCCCACATTCTGTCATAATAATATCTCCAACCAAGGACGATGTTATAGGAGCACAGGGATGCAAAGACCATCATGAGCCAGTTGTACGTTTATTTCTTCCCTGCAGGGCCAGAAAGGGGCATACAAGTGAGGCAAGTTAGTCGCATAAATGCTAGAACCACTAATATCGCATGTAGATGTGGTATGGCGACTTAAAGGGGAGTAATGGCACGTACTTGGTGGACCAGTCGCAAAGCAGTAAATTGACTTTGTGGTGGTCAAACTCATGAGTCATGCCAACGATAAAGGCATTATTTGGTCTCAAACTTCGGATTGCATCCAGGGTCTTGTAGGAATGATGTGGAATTGTATAGGGAAAGGAGTGGCAAAACGAGAATGAAGAAAAAAAAAAGGGGGGGGAGTGGTTACACATTAGGAAACTGTGGGACAAGCAAAAGCATATAAAAGGGCATGACATCAATAGCTTCTGTCGATAAAGACATATGTGATGGGAGTAATGTAAGGGAGAGAAGCACCTGAGGAAGATGAAAATGAGTTGCATGCGGGTGATCCTGCACATTCATCCCACAAGGCCATGAGATTGTGGATTATGTTACAAAGAGAATAAGGGACCTCGAGGGACAACAAAGCACAAAAAATAATCCACAAATATTGGAAAAGGTCATGGCAATAAACAATAGGTTAATGCAAGAACGGAAGGATGTGGCACATGCGAGAAGGATAACGGCCATGAGCACGTACAAAATAGAGTGAGTCAATAACGAGAATGTGAATTCGACCCAAAAGCTGCTGCCTGGCTTTCAAGTCTGAATAAGCAGACGGTGCAGGGAGGGAGGGAAAAACAGGCAGGAGAGAGGCAGCAGAGAGCATGCATGGGAAAGCATCCATGTGAGGTCATGCGAATGAGTGGTAATGCCAGAAAATACAGAGAGCATGGATGGCGAACGTGTGGCGTGCAGAGGGTAGGTGGATCATGCATGAGAGTGTGGTGTCGGGGATCCTTGAGACATCTGACATGTAAACCACACACTGGCCTACTTGGCTGGCAGCGATGCTAGAAGAAAACTCATGCCATATCTCGAAAACAATGTGCCACAAAAAGAGCCTCCTTGCGTACGTACAGGCGAGCGTGGTGTCGGGGATCCTTGAGACATCTGACATGTACACCACACGCTCATGGCTGCCAAACTCAAACCCCAGTGCTATGTAGTCCTCTCCATGTTGAACCTGCAGAGCATGTTACATGGCAGTTTTGGTGCCGAATGGATGGTGCATGGTGAGAGTTTTAGAATGGTGCAGAATGGATAATGCATGGTACGAACAAAAATAAAATGGTGCAGACTAGATAGTGCATGGTACATAGAAAAGTATGGTGGAGAATGGATAATGCTGAGCGGAAATAATGCATGTGAACCATACAGGAAGGGGAGTGACTGTGAGACCAGCCGCATTGAAGGGAGCAGCAACACTCTGTTGAATGATCTGCCATTCAATTCGAGACACCCGCCGAGATACTTTCTTCACGCTCCCCTCTCCTCCCCCCGTCATCCCCCCTGCACCTGCTGTTCTTTCCTCAAGTGATTTATCCTGGATCACCCCACACGGCTGATCACCAGTGGCAGCAGCAGTGGCAGCAGTGGCAGTGGCAGCGGCGGCAGCAGCAGGTGGGACAGCGAAGGGATGTGGGAGCGAGGGAGCAGGGCGAGGGGGCGTGAGAGTGAGGTAGGGGAATTTGTCTTGAACGCTGTTTGTGGATGGGGACGGGCGGGAGGGAACGGACGAGGGGGCGAGAGAGGTGAGTACAATTAGGCGGGGAGGGAGCGAGGGACCAGGAGAGAGACAGACGAATGGGCGTTGGTGACGTCGAGACGGGAAACGAGCGCGGGCACCGAAACTCATGAACGTCATGAGGCGGGAAAACACAGGTACGTAAATTCTCAGAATGGGTGAAAACTCAAGCATTGGAAGAGGTGGGGGAGAACACAGATACAGGCCCATGCACCTGGCCATGCAGCGGTGCTGCTCGCACCTGGCCATGCAGCGGTGCTGCTCGCACCTGGCCATACAGCGGCGGGAGAGGAAGACGGAGAGGGGCTCCACGTGGTCTGCTGCATGGCGGGGGATGCGCTGCAGCCCTCTGACGTCATCCAGGCCCAGTATGGCGTCAGCATGCTCATGCGTGAGAATCAGCTGTAGCGAGAAGAAGGGGGGAGAGGAGAAAGGGGGAGTGAGAGGGGGGGGGGGGGAGAAAGGGGAGGGGGGACAAGGTGAGAGGGAAGAATTGAGAAGGGGAATGGGGAGGAAAGAGAGGTAATGGGGCGGGAGGGGAGGAACATTGTGCAGATTCTGTGGGGTTGACTTTGGAAAGAGCGGGATTGAGAGAGGAAAAGGTAACTCAGGATGGGCAATAGAGGGTATCCTGCATCCATAACCCATTCAACGGTGGGTATCCTGCAGACATACCGCGTCAATGGTGGGTATCTTGCAGCGCACGAACCACCGCAGCACCTGCTCCCGGAAGCACTTGCCGGCGTCAATCTGAATGTGCCGCCACTCCTCGCCAGGAGACAAATCTAAGCTAACGGAATCCGTCAGGTTTAATGAATCCGTCAGCTTAACGGTATCCGTCAGGAGAGTGGAATCACCACCTGGGCCATCAGCAGTCTCTCTGGAACTCGGCTGGGCTACTCCGTTGGAATCACAGCCCTCGTCTGAACGATCACTGCGTACAGTCACAGCTCCATCCACTATATGAGGTCGGAACCGGTATCGGATCATAAGCGACGGGTTGCATCTGCAGGCGACGAAACCGCAAATGAATGTTACCAGCTGGTCGAATGTTACAAGTAAATAACAGCTGAAGTTACATTCTCGCAATCCTGGAATGCGAGAAGGGCCAGAAGCGATGCGATAAACGGTTACCAACACGGCGAACGGCGGTGACCAGCACGCCATGTTACAAGCAATCACCAGAAGCCCGAATTCGCTCATTACCGATAATTCGGGTTTCGTTCCGGCGGTTCCGCGAGTGCCTTGTGGCAGACGGCACACGGCGGGTCAGTCGGCTGTGTGACGCAAAGAGGAGTGGGGACTCCCGTCGACGACCCCGTTCCTAAGAATATGATCTCCGACAACCCGCTACTGGACCGTTCGTTACTGGACCGCGAGGCCATGGAGGACGGCTAGATGAAGCCAAATCAAGCCTACAAATGACAGACAAGTGCCGAGTCCCGACTAACTTGAAAACCGCAACTAGAATGAATCATGCTATACAAAATGCCAGTCAATCAAGCCACCGATACTCCTTTCCATGCAGAATATCCATATCCATGACTCTACCGGGAAAATGCCTGTGGGTATGGAACCAGACTCCCTATGGGAAAGATCCGAAACGAGCGATCATCCCCGTTTGTGAGTTGTATTCGCGTTAGGGCGTGCCATGTTTACATTCTTAAACCTCGGTTCTAGAAAAAAAACATGTCAATATTGTCACCAGGGTAGATAAAGGTTACCATTAGTGATTCATATTAGTGGTTTGTTCTGGCAAACTCGAACCCTTCAGGGCATAATAAATGCCCTATTGAAATCACGCACACACCCACTTCCTTGAAATTTTCAGCCGTTATTGGTCTTTGCCTCTTGCCTCCTCTTGATCGCTCTTTCACCTCACCCACTGCCGCCTCCTCCCTGCTGCCGCCCCGCCTCCCCCTCCTCCCTGTGCTCCATCCCTCCTCGCTCTCATTCGCTGCTGTAGTGTCATGCCCTGATTGGCTCCTGTGGCCGGGTGATGGGTGAGAGCGACGAGATATACACGTTGCAATGAGTAGAAAACAAGCACGAACACGGGCAATAGGAGCACCTCAATATTTCTAATGCCAAAGCATACCTGAATCAACGGCACTCCAACAATGCCAGGTATCCCCCTCGCCCTCACAGCTCTTGTCTCACCTGATTTCCATGCCATTGGCTGCGTACTTGCCGCATCCATCGCCCCATCCCCTCCTTCCTTTCCTTTGCCTACTCCCCCCCTTCTCTCCCTCCCTTCTGATCCTGCCGCTCCTCCGCCCCCACCTCCTGCTCCCACACCCCCATCATCTGGCCTTGCACCAGTCGCTTCTCCAAGTGACCCTCTGACCCTCCCAACACCTCCCGAGCCTCTGCTCCAGCCCCCTCTCACGGGTGACTCTGCTCGTACACTCAGGCCTGTTCCTTCCACTGCACCCTCTCCACCAATATGCTCTCTCCCTCCTTCTAATTTTCCTGCCTCTCCTCCATATCCCATTTCTGCTTCTTTCCTGTCCCCTGCTCTGTCTCTAGCTCCGTCTCCTCCGCTCCTCCCGGCGCCCTCGTCCGAACTCCACCCCGCAATCGGCGCCTCCTCATCCAGGCTCGGCAGGCCCTTCCGAGCCTTCTCATACCGAGCCACATCGGTTCGGGCGGGAGTAGGCCCAAGCAGCAGAGGATCAGGTTCGGAGCGCTGGCTCTGCGCGCTGCTGCTGGGGGTGCGGTCTAGAGAAAGGGGGGTGATGACCCCAGGGGAAGCGGCAGAGGAGGAATGAGAGTAGGCGGAGGAAGGGAGGGAGATGATGTGGGGGGAAGAGGCTGGGGAGTCAGAGCCTACACTCACACCAGTGGCTGCTCCTGCTGCCCCTGCTGCTCCCGCTGTTGCTCCTGCTGCTCCAACCGCCCCCTGTGCTGCTCTCCTTGCAGTACCTCTCGCTGCTGCTGCCATTGCTGTGGCTTCCTCAATAGCTTCTGCTGCTGTCCCCCTTCCCGGCGCCCCTATGCCTTCTCTCCCTGCTCCTGCTGCTGTTCCCACCTGAGCAGTTTCAGAACCACCCTCGGCTCTTCTCACATTTGGCTGAAGCTGCAGCGAGGGTGAATTCCCCGTGGTAGCACCTGAAGGTGAGGAGGAGTACGAGGCGGTGGAGTGCGGTGGCGGGTCTCTGAGGTAATTCTGCTGCAGCTGCATCAGCTGAGCCTTGGCTCGCCGCAGCTTCTCCAGAACACTGGGACTGCCCCCCCCTACACCAGAACTCCCAACCCCCACCCCTGAACCCCCACTCTCCATCCCTCCCCTACTCCTTCCCTCACCTGACACTCCATCCTCTCCCCCCACCCCGCCTCGTCCTGCACTCGCCCCCTCCCTCAACGCCAACCTATCCCTGCCGGTGCCACTCCCCTCCGCCGCTGCTGCTTCCGCCGTTGCCCCTGCAGCCCTCTTGACGGTTTCAAAGAAGAGGGCCGTGCGGGCAGCACGGGCAGGCGAGGGCGAGGCAGAGGGAGACGGCCAGTACCCCACTCCACCTGACGCTGCTGCAGCCGGCGCACCTGCCGCTGCGTTTATCGAGGACGGCTTTATGGGGGACAGAGCAGATGAGGGGGGGCGGGCGGGGGAGCCTGAGCTGGCTCCTGCTCCTGCTGCTGCTGCTGCCTTGAATGGGCTGCCGAACGCTGCTGTGCTGGGGATGTTATCAGCACCTTCATATGAACCCTTGGTGACTTCTGAAGAGATCCCTGCAGTGATCCCCATCTCCCTCTCCCTCTCCCGCTCTCTTGCCCCTCGACTCCAAGCCCTCACAGGTGATGGAGTTCCCACAATCGCTGCTCCCTCTGCTGATGCATCCCTCACATTCGCTCCTCCCTCTCCTCCTGCATCCCTCACACTCGCCCCTCCTACTGCTCCTGATGCTCCCTCCACTCCTCCCACCAGCCCTTGCAGCCTCACCTCTCCTTCCACTCCTGCTGCCTCCCCCTCCCCCTCCCCGCTCCCACCCATCCCTGCTGCCCATCCATCAGCCCCCGCTTCCCATTCCGAACTCTTGTTTCGTCCCATGTCCCTCCCGCCCTCCCATCCTCCCACTCCACCCTCCTCCCCACCAATCCTCTCCGCTTCCCACCCACCTGCTTCTCTGCCTTCCTCCTCACCAACCCCCTCGCCCGACCCCCCTCCCACCTCACTGCACTCCTCCCCACTCACCCGCTCGCCCTGGAGATCATACACAGCCACAAGATGGTGCGCGGAGCGGCAGGGGCGCAGCACAGGAGCCAGGCGGGGGGGCAGGGGGAGGGGAGAGTGTGCGGGCAGAAGAGAGGATAGGGCGGAAGGTTCAGGTGGGGGTAGGAGGAGGGGCGAGGACGCGGGAGAGGGAGAGGAGAGACTGGCGGGGTCAGTAAGAGGGAAGGGGAGGGAGGAGGGATTGGATGGAGGCACAGGAAGGGTGGATTGCTGTTGAGTGCTGGTGATGGGGAGTAGGGGCGGAGAAACAGCAGCAGCTGCTGCTGCTGCAGGTGCTGTTGCTGCTGGGGCTGGTTCAGCTGTTGTTGCTGCAGTGCTTGCATTGTGCGCAGCGGTGGGCTGCTGTGCCTCACTTGCAGCAGCAGCACCACTCGGCTGTGACTCGGATGGAGGAGCAGCAGTAGCGAACGTATCACTGGCCGCATGCTCGTGCTCATGTCGATCTTGATATTGATGCTCATGCTCATGCTCATGCTCATTCCCCTGCTCGTGCTCTCGCTCCTGCTTGTGCTGATGTTGATGCTGAGTGGGCAGAAGGCCATGACGTTGCATGAAGGCAGTGCGTGCAGCGATGAGAGCCGAGGCAGGCTGCAAGCAATGCGGGAGCAACAACATGAGGAGGGAGGGAGACAGACGCCCCTGAAACAGGTTCACGGAGGTTCACGGTGCAACAGGCAGACGTTCAAGAAGGCACATGGCACATGGCATGAGGCACATGGCACATGGCATGAGGCACATGGCACATGGCAGTCCTGCATGTCACGCATTACATTCTTATCTCACCCACCCACTCACCTGAGCATCACACGTGTCCGTCAGGTCGAACAGCTGCAGCGGCACAGGCACGTGGTGTTTTGGGGAAGGGGGGTTCTCAAGAGCACCCTGCAGACACTCACGTAACACGGCAACGAGCCAGTCACCCACCTGAGCGTCACACTTGTCTGCGAGGTCAAACAGCTGCAGCGCCACAGGCACATGCCCATCTGCCTCGGCCATCTCCACCTGCTGCAGCCAGTGCCACGCCGACGACAACCCCCCTGGTTCCCCTCCTCCTCCCCCTACCGTCGACATCCCTGCAGCAAAGCCAGCAGTGGAGGCAGGGCGATGAGCAGGAGAGAGGCCTGCAGGCTCCTCACCCCAGGCTGGGCGAGCAGCAGGCAGGGCGCTGCTGCCATCACCAGGCTCCTCGCCCCCTGCTGCTGCTGCTGCCGGCACGGGCTGCACTGTGGCCGCCCCTCGCAGCAGCTCCAGAGCACGCACGTCCTCGTCACTCCACTCCTCATCCTCCTCCTCCCCTCCCTCACTCGCTCCCTCACTCATCCCCTCTCTCCCTCCCTCGCTTCCGCACCCTGCCGCCACCATCTCCCCCTCGCCCGCTCCACTCTGCACCTTCTCCTCACGAGCCTCAAGCGTCGCAAGTGCCAATGCCTCCTGCCGCCGCTCATTGCTCACACCTCCCTCCCCAGTGCCCTCCTTCCGGCCCTCACCTCTACCCTGTGCACCAGCCGCAGCACTGGCAGCAGCAGCAGCAGCAGCAGGAGCGGCAGCGACAGCGGCAGCGGCACCAGTGGTGGTATTTGCACTCCTGTCATCCCTCCACAACTCCCCTCCATACTCTTCCTCCTCCTCTCCAACCCCCTCACTCCCTACACCTCCTTCACTCTCCCCTTCCTCCCGTCCCCCCTCACTCGCCCCCTCTTCCCTCCCACCCTCCCACCGCTGCTCCATCCCCTCACCCCTCACCTCCCACCTGCCTCGCTCCCTCGCCCCAATGCCCCCAACCCTCTCTTCCCCCCGTACCCCCACCGTCACCCCCATCTCGCCATCCCCCATTCCGCCCCTGCCTCCCTCCATCTCCCCCCTGCTTCCTCCCATCTCCCTCTGGCCTTCCCCCATCTCCCCCCCGCCTCCCCCCAGCTCCCCCCGGCTACCTCCCGCCTCCCCCCTGTGCCCCGCGCCACCCCCCATGAGGAGCAGCAGCTCGTGGCGGAGGGCAGCAGCGTCCACGGGCATTCTCCCCGCTGCCAGCGCCTGCTCCAACTGCCGCAGGCTCTGCTGCACCGCGCTCTCTTCCCCCTCGCCCCCGTCCTCCTCCCCTGTACCTGCCCTCTCGCCCCCCTCCCCTGGCTCCGCCCCTGCCTCCCCTCTCTCGCCTCTCATTCCCCCCCTCCCCACTTCCCTCCTCTCCCCATCCCTCACCTCCACACTCCCCGCTCTTCCTCCCCCGCTCCTGCCGCCACCTCGCCCGGGCAGCTCCTGAATAGTTTCCCTCTGCCCGGAACCGTCTGCCTGCCCGTCGCCCTCCAGAAGCCCCCCAAAGTCGTTGAGAGTGTGGGGGAAGCCGAAGAGAGAGAGGGCCACGGCCCTCGCCTCCTCTTCGTAGTCACACGCGTCCTCCTCCTCCCCCTCCGCCTCCCTCCCTCCCTTCTCTCTCCTCCCTCCCTTCTCTCTCTTCCCTTCTGTCCTATCCATCCCTCCCATCTCTCCTTTCTCCCCTTTCCCGTCCGGTTCTACAACCCTCTGACTGTCGCTGGCTCTGCTTTGCTGCGCTCCAGTTACCTCTGCATCAGCAGCAGCAGTAGGGGAACCAGTAGCAGTGGCAGCAGCAGCAGCAGCAGATGCATCAATGCTCCCTGCTCCACTGTTTCCTCCACCTTGACCCACCTCCCTCTCTCCTTCCCCATGCCTCTCCTCCTCCCCATCCCGCTCCCCCGTCCGCTCCCCCTCCCCCTGCCTCTCCTCCCCATCCAGCTGTAGCGTGGCCAGGGTGCGAAACAGGAAGTCGCCCCCTCCCCTGTAGCGGTAGGCTGTGGCCGCGCGACCCAAGGCGCCAGGCTTGAACACAGCTTCGACCAGGCTCGGGGGGAGAAGACCAGCCTTGGCAGCAGCAGCATCAGCATCGGCATCAGCTTCAGCAGCAGCAGCAGCAGCATAAGCAGCAGCAGCAGCAGCGGATTCGCCAGCACCATCAGCACTGGCACGATCACTACCAGCAACACGAGCAGCGCCTTCAGCAGCACTTTCTCCCCTGCCCCCTTCCCGTCTGCCTCCTCCCTCTTCTGCCTTGAGCACCTTGGTCCGACACAGAATACCCTTAGCGGACCTGCTTATAAGGGAACCTCCACCTGCCCCATCCACAGCACAAGCACCGCTGGTAGACCCAGCAGCAGCAGCAGCAGCAGCAGGGGTGGCAGGGCCGGCAGTGGCAGCAGAAAGGCTGTCCTCCTTGAGTGCGGCAGCAGAGTCGGCCTCCTTGAGTCGCCTGAGCAGCCCAGCGCGCAGGGCAGCAGGCAGGGGCGCGAAGGGGTCGCTGGGCCCGGGGGGGCTGGTGGTGGGGAGCAGGGCGTGTGACTGGGGGTGTGCGGGCGAGAGCAGCTGGAAGTGCGGATGCGTGTGTGCGTGAGAAGTATGGGCGTGAGAGGTGTGCGTGTGAGCAGTGTGAGAATGATTAGTGTGCAGAACAGTGGTGGGGCTTGATGGGTGCATTGGTGTGTGGTGATGAGTAACGCTGTGCGGGTGGTAACCCATGGCATGTTGCCCCTTGGCTTTCTGTGCAGGCGGCAGCAGGTCTGGTGGGGCGCCCATGGCATGTGGCTCAAGATCGGCTGGTTCTGACGCATACACATGCATGGGAGCCGCTGTAGCAGCAGCAGCAGCAGCAGCATCACCTTCGCCACCTGACGCATGCGCATGCATGGGAACCGCAGCTGCAGCAGCAGCAGCAGCAGCACCTGATGCACCTGCGCCATTTGAGATGTCACTACTGCGTTCCTTTATGTCATTGGACGGACTGGCATGGCGTTCCACATCCATCCCACTGCTGTAACCACCAACACCACCATTAGCACCACCACTGGCACCATCAGCATCAGCATCAGCGCCATAAGCGGTGCCACCAGCACGGGACCCAGCATCAGCACCACGCTGCTCCGTCCCTCGCTCTCCGCCCATCGCCTCCATCCTCCCAACCTCTCCCTCTTCTCTGCCCCGCGCACCCTCCATTCGCTGCTCTGCCTCCGCCCGCCTGAGCCCCTCCTCATACCGCCTCTGCCTCTCCTCCAGCCTCTCACTCCTCTCCCTGTACCCCCCCTCCTGTTCCTCCTCCTCAACCCCCCTCTCTGCTTCCCTGCGTTCATTTCCGCTGGCATGCATTTCTGCACGCTCTGTTAATTCCACCTGAGGTTTCACCTGAAGCAGCCCCAGCCGCTGCATCCAAAAGTCGTCTTCGCCTTCATGCACCTGCTGCCCCCCATCCCTCCCCTCCGCAGCCCACCTGTCCACCTTCGACAAGTCCCTCCCCTCCTCCCTCCTCGCCCACCGCATTCCTTCTCCCTCTCCTACCGACCCCTCTCCCCACCTCTCTCCTTCCCCTTCCGCCCTCTCCCCCTCCCCTTCCACCACCTCTTCAATCTCCGTCGTCCCTCTCCTCCCTTTCGACCAGCCGCCTAAGGCCCCTCCTGCTCGCCCCCCGCTCCTCCCTTCAGGCCCATTCGTCACCTCTCCCGCCCTCTCCTCCTCAGCGCCGTCCTTCCGCATCCTCTCCCCCTCCCACTCCCCCTCCCTCTCCCCCGCTTTCTCCTCTCCCCCCACCCCTCCTTTTCCCCCCTTCCCTCTCCCACCACCCCCCCCGCCTGTGCCCTCCTCTCCCCCCAACCCGCCCTCACTGTACGTGTTCAGGGGGAGAGGCACAAACGAGACGAGGGACGGAGCCACGCCAGCAGGAGAACCAGAATCGTACTGTGCATGTGACTCTGCTGCTACTGCTGCTGCTGCTGCTGCTGCTGCTGCTGCAGGCATCTGTTGCTCACCTGACGCATGCGAGGGAATAGAGAGGGACTGATGCGACAACATGGAGTGAGACTTTTGTGACAGGGAGAGGGAAGAGTCAGACCTCAGCCGTGCTCCTGCCACGATCTCGTGAAACGGCACCTCACTCACTCCATCCCCCTCCTCCACCCCACCCTTTCGCTCCCCTCCCGCCACCTCCCCTCCTCCCCTCTGCCCCGCCGACCCTGCCCACTGCTGCTCCTGCTCATACCCCTGCTGCCCTCTGCGGCTGCTGCCTCTGCTGCTCATCCGCGCAACGCCACTCTCTGCATGCCGTTTGGACCGCGTGCCCCGCGCGTGGTGCTGCTGCTGCTCCTCCTCGTCCTCCTCCCCGGGCTTGCGTGGCAGGGAGAAGCGGTTCAGCGCGGAGGGCGTCCTGCGCAGCAGATAGGCTGCTGGAGGCGCGCTCTGCTGCTGCTGTTGCTGTTGCTGTTGCTGTTGCTGGTGGGAGGGGGCTTGGTAGGCTTGCTGCTGCGTCCGCTGGTGCTGCTGCTGCTGCTGCTGCTGCTGCTGGGACGCGTGTGGGCGGTGGAAGAGCGGATAGTGCTGCTGATGGTCAGACACAGGGTGGGGCGAGTGGGGATGAGACGGGGATGACGGGCATGCGGGATCGTGGGGGTGCGAGGGGAGGTGAGGGGGGAACATGGTGGGGGAGGAGTCACTCCCGCAGCTGCCATACCCACCGTACCCGCCATACCCGGCAAAACCAGCATAGTCAGCGTTCGGAAGGTACGTTTGGGGGAGCGGCAGTGGGGAGGACGCGTCAATGTGGCTGTCGGAACTGGCACCATCAGGGGACAACAGCCCCTCTTGCCGCCTGTTCGGGGACAGCCCTTCCTGCTTCCCTTCCGGAACCACCACTCTCCGCTCACCATCTCGAAACGCCTCCCTCTGCTTCCCTTCCTTGGCAGCCGCCGGAGTGCTGTAGTAAGCCCCTTCATTCCTCAAATATTGCTTCTCCACTGGACTCACCCACCCCTCCTCCCACCCTGCTTCACCCATCTCCACCGCACCTGCACCCCCCTCTCTCCTGCTCGGCCCTACACCACCGCTGCTACAACCGCCGCCACTCGTAGCTACATCCGCATCGCCACCAGCCCGCGTTTTCCCGCGCTGCCGCTCCTTCACACGTTTCCTCTTCTCCACGCTGGCGGCTTGAAAGCTGTCGTAGTAAGCGGCACCAGGCACGTAGTACGGATCGCTGCTGGGTTCCCTGTCCGCGTTACCCCCGTTATAAGCTGAAAGTGGTGGAATAGATGGAGGATTCTTTGTTGCCCTATTCGAACGCTCTACAGGCTCTATCGAAGATCCGGTAAGGTTGTCCGCGTTTGTACCCGCTACAAGGTTCCGCGGATTCGATTCCACATGCTGGTGTCTGGCTGATTTGCCTGAAAACAAATCCGCATTAGTAGCAATCTCCGCTTGTGTCTTAGCGTGCGTCCTCTCTCTCGCGCCAGCCACCAGCTCACGAAACGACACCAGATCTCTCATTGCAGGCGCGGGATAATACCATACCTTCGCCTCAGGCTCGGGCGCCCTGGGTCGGACCGGACCTGGAGAACTGCTTCGGAAGTGCGGCCTAGTGAAAAAGCCCGTCACCCGCGCAGCAGCCGCGGAAAAAGGACCTGCGGAGCCTGCGCCTGCGCCTGCGGTGGCAGCAGCGGCGGGGGCAGCGCCCCCTGGGTCGGGGGCAGGGCCGGGGGAACGGGGCTGGCGCGGGGATTCCTGCGCATCGGCGGAGAACCAGCGCCAGGGGCGGTGAGGGGAGCGCGACCGAGAGCGGGAGCGGGAGCGCGCGCCAGAGGGGGAGGCGGAGCGCGCGGGATTGGGGGAGCGTGAACGTGGGCGGAAATTGAGAAAGGGGATGGGAATGGCGAGGGGCGGAGGGACGTTCGGGGGAGGTGCCGGGGGAGGGGTGGTTCGGGCGAGACTAGGAGCGCGGGAGGAGGGAGGGTTGAACTCCTGATAGCTGCAGGATGGTGGGCGAGGAACGGGGAAAGACACGAGAGCAACGACGACAGACACAGGAGTAAGGCCACGTGGGACAGGCGAAACAGGAAGGAGAGGGGGGACAGGCGAAACAGGCGAAACAGGCGGGACAGGCGAAACAGGAAGGAGAGGGGGGACAGGCGAAACAGGCGGGACAGGCGAAACAGGAAGGAGAGGGGGGACAGGCGAAACAGGAAGGAGAGGGGGGACAGGCGAAACAAGCGGGACAGACGAAACAGGCACAGGGATAAACCAGTGAGGAAAGGGAAAGAAAGAGTGGGCGCGACTGGAAGGAGCAGGCGATATCGCAAGGTGCGCGGTGAACTGACAGGATAACCAGAGAATCACACAGGCGACACCCCACATCACGCATTCCATACCTGCATATCCGTCGCATACCCGTCACAAACCTGTCGCATACCCGTCGCATACCTGTCGCCCCACGCACCTGTGGCGCTTCCGCCTTCTCGACAAGTCTGAACCATCACCCTCGCGTTGCGAATCGCCACGTGGAGACTGCTTGCGCTGGCCGTCCAATCCTTGCGTGCCACGTGAAGCCACCCTTTCGCCAACCCCGCTCTCGCGAGGCCAATCAGACTCATCTCTAACCCTACTGCGTCTCCGCGCTGTGTCGATCGATAAGTTAGGACGACCCGGCACGTCACGAGCGAGCGGCCATCCGAGAGGCGACGGCTCCCCAGGGCCGATAGCTCCTTGGCTAATGGAATCCGCTACGATCCCTGCAGCCATTCCTTCCGCAGAATCTAGACGCGCTTCGGCCTATGATAGCAGCGCAATAGCTTAGCTAACAGGGACGGACAGACTCATCTGAACAGGTTAACGACAGCTCCCGAGCAGCGCAACTAAAGCAGGATAATGAAGGGTCGCACCATATGCTCCCTCTCATTCGCGCAAAGCGCGACGGCCTATCGCTCACAAGTGTCGTCGTGGGGTCAACAGGGAGCCTCGAGAGTTCATCTGCCAGTATAGGAGAGAATAAAGTAATTTGGACACAGCGTAACTACAGACTCTAGGTATCCGAGTATATACCATTAGACAGCACACTACTAATAAAGCTACAATCGCTTTAGCCTGAACATCTGAAATGCCTGAACAGCTGAATCGTGGAATCCTCATCCGACACACTCTACGTCTCCCTGACGGCGACACATGTCACGGACTTCGTCATTGGGGCAGCGACAGTGTCCTTGAGATCTGCGCTCTCCTCCTCGTTCCCGAGCCAAGCAGACGGGGCGAGCGGGATTTGGGCTTGACGAATCAGGTTTCTGGAGCGAGGGGCGTGGCGACCGACGTGCGACACGGTAGGTTTGGGAAAGGGCGGCGGCATCGCTTGGGTCATGTTACCGAACTGCAAAATCGAGCTTGAGTATTTAGTAGTATTCATAAATAACTAAGTATTTATGATTGGCACAGGTGTTTGGTCCAGCGGTACGATTCTCGCGTCGGGTGCGGGAGGTCCCGAGTTCAATTCTTGGTACACCCCCTTTCTTCCTGTCATGTCATTTTGCATGATGTTTTTATAACTGTCAATCTCACTTCCACAACTCCCTCCCACTTCAAAACGTCTATCATGCTTCTGGAAGACAGATGGAGCTTCTACTCATAACACATAACATCAACTGGATGGCAGCCAGCTAGAGCTCTTTATGTGAGACGTTGATCCTGTTCGGGATGCGCTGAATCTTCCGTCAGTAATCAAAACTCACCTTGAACTTGCTTTAGCAACATACATACAATAATGGAAAACTCAAGGCACATTGCCCAGTCAACCATTGGCCTGAAACACCATGTATCTCATCATCGCTACAGGGTTAGCCTTGAGGAATCGCTTACTATGCACACCCTCCTGCCCTGCCTTCTCCTTTCCTCCGTCTCCCACATCACCTCCAGAAGTCCCCACGCACAGCCTCTTAGCAGCAGGCTCCTCCCCACTAGCCCCAAGCTGCTGCTGTTGCTGCTGCTGCTCAGGAGGACTCCTCCTGAGATAATCGACCACCTGGTTACCACCAGTGCCTGGCGGCCTCTTGTGCTGCCCTGCCGCTGTACCAGCAGCTTGAGTGTCAACTGTGGTAGGGACAGTCGCAGCAGCTGTAGCAGCGGCTGTAGCTGCGGGGCCAGCAGCTGCAAGCGCTTGCTGCAGGAGAGGAGGGGAGGTGGAACCAGAGGCGGAGTGTAGCGGGAGAATGGGCAGAGAGGGGACAGCTCTACTGTGGTCTAACCCGCCTTGCCTGCCTGCTACAGATGGAACAGCAGCAGCTGTGGCAGCTGCAGCACGGAAGTTTTCCCATCCAGTGCTGTGCCCTACTGCCTGTCCTGATCCTGTGCCTGGCGCACCGGCCAGCCATGCCGCTTGCCGCTGCTTCTCCATCCGCTCTGCACCATCCACTCCTGCTGCCAGTGTTGCTGCTCCTCCTGTTGGTGCCGGTGGTGCAAGGGTCATTTCACATCCCGCTTGAGAGAACGAAGGGGCTGCACCGTGGGGGACGGTGGAAGGCAACGAGGGAAGAGAGGCAGCAGCGGCGCCAGCGCCAGACGAACCGGGTGCTGGAAACGCTTGTGGTGTTGGCACCGCTTGCAGTGCTGCTGCTGCCATTGCTGGTGCAGGTGCTCCCACTGCCGGTGCAGACGCTGCTGCAGCTGCCGCAGCTGCTGCAGCGGCCATTGCCGCAGCCATTGTTGCCTGGTCAGGCCACCCGGGAAAACCCCCCGCCCCCACACCAGCGCCACCAACAGCACCAGCAGCAGCAGCACCTGCACTGCTTGCCGATGCAGCTGCAGCAGCAGCGGCAGCGGCAGCAGCAGAGAACGCGGCTGCGTCGGGGAAACCCGAAGCGGAGGCGGATCCGGGCCAGTGTACTTGTGGCGAAGAGTAGGGCCACTGGCCGAGGTGACTATACGGGGAGGCGGAGAAGGGAGAGTGCAAGGACGCAGCAGCAAGGGAAGACCCGAGGTGTGCTTGTTGCTGCAGCTGCTGCAGCTGCTGCAATTGCTGCTGCTGCTGCAGTTGCTGAAGCTGTTGCAGCTGCTGCCGTTGATAGTGCTGCTGTTGCTGCTGCTGCTGCTGCTGTTGCTGCAGGTGCAGAAACTGCTGCATCTGGAATTGAGAAAACGGCTGCAGAGCCGAACCCCCGGAAGCAGCTTGAGCAGCCATGGCAGCGGCGGCTGCTGCAACCGCAGACGCCATTTCCTGGCCCGCAGCGGCGGAGGACATTCCTTGGCCGGCCGCCGCCGCCGCAGCAGCAGCCGCAGCCGCGGCCGCGTACTCGGAAGCAGCGCCCCCCATGCCCGCGCCCATGCCCATACCCATTCCGCCCATCCCCGGAAAGATCCCCGCAGGGACGTGCCCCGCGCCCGCCGCCAGCGCCATGGTCCGCGCAGCCGCCGCCGCTGCCACATTGGCGGGAGAGAGACCCGCGGAGAGGCCCGGGGAGTATGGGGGGACGCCTTGGCGCAAGAGCTCCGCCTGAGGGAAAGCTCCATGCGGGGAAAGAGCGGCTGGGGGGAGACCGTAGGCTGCAGGTAACGCCACGGAGGGCGCGGAGAGAGCGTGGGACGCGCCGGAAAGAGCGGAGAGAAAGGGACTGGCGACACCTGGCACCAACGGATTGGTTGCCGCTACGGCAGGTGAATGGACTGCCGTCGCTGCCGCCGCCGCCGCCGCCGCTGCGGCGAGCAGCGCTGCTGGCGAGACGCCCGCGGCTGGATCGCCAGCGGCGAGAGCTTGAGCATGGGCTTCCTGATGCGACGCCTGGTGCTGCTGGTTACCCTGTTGCTGTTGCGGGTGTGACAAAACCTTGCTTTTTCGCCGGCCCGAGCCCACGGGCACGTTTCGCAGATTGCCACCGGCTGTCCAATAGCGCTGGCAGGCTCGGCAGAAGTGGCGCGGCTGGTTCGGATTGTAGTTGTTGAAGTAACAGAACTTGGTAGCGAGACTCTTGCAACGGGGACAAGGTAGCGGGGTGGTTGGACGCTTCAACTCGCAACCTCCTTCCCCCTGCTTCTGCCCCTCCCCCTCCTGCTGCTGCAGCTCCCGCTCCTGCTCTTCCTGTTTCGCCCGCTCCGCCGACGCATCTTGAGACTCGGAACTCTCCTCCCGGTCGTCGTTCCCCTCTGCTTCCTCGCGCTCCTCTCCTCTATTCTCTGCAGCAGTTGCGGCCGCGGCGGTTCTGCGAAAGTCGTTCGAGGTCTGACGAATCGCGGAATCGGGAATAGCATTTAGTTCGGCACGGGGTCGAGGCCCTTGACGAAGAGACGACGGTGGAGATTGATTTGCGTCGCACGCCAACGGCTGGGATGAGACGGGCGAGTTTGGCGCGCTACCGTTATCGATTAATCTACCGAAGAGACGGAATCCCGGATCCGCCGCGTCTAAAACGGGACCGGCTATTGTTGCCATCACGCTGTTCGATATCCAAATCTACTCGACTAGGAACATTCCACTTTTGCCTTTCTTGGCTTGGTCCTGTAAATGTGAAAAGAAGCTTGTGTGTGTCCGTGTGACTTGCAATTGGCAAGCTGAGTGACGAGGCGTAATCTCTGCTATGGCTAAACGAGGAGCTGAGATATAGGCTCGAGTGAACGATTCGCTGAACCGCACACAGACTAGCAACACTGGATGACGCTGGAACTTGGTGTTTTGGCTACCCCGTGCTTGCTCTGCCCGGCCCTGTCTGAACCACGCACCAAATACACCACTCGCGCGGGCAGGTGGGAGATATTGCTGCTGTATGAGCTCGTCTGACAGAATTCTGACCGGCAGGGCAAAGACGAGGGGAGAAAACATGATGAGCGAGGTTCTCTCGCACAGCCAAGGGTTGGAGGGAGGAGAGAGGGGGAGTGGGGGAGAGAAGTGGTGGATCACTCTCTGACCAGCGGAGATAGCGCGTGCGGTCTCGAGGTTGGGGGAGAGTGCGTATGCTCTTTCAGGCAAGCGCGGGGGCGATTCTCCGCCGTGCAATGGGACGGTTGTTGGGGATTCTGCCTTGGTCCCCCGGCGCTGCTTCGCTGGCTTGCGTGGCCGCGGTTGTCCGGTGGCTGTGCTACTCTTGGTGCCAACGTTCTCCTGCCCGAAAGAAATCTCGTTTGCCTGGCTAGCCTGCCCTGGCAGCTCAAGAGCCACAGAGGTAAAAGCTCGATGTGGAGGTGTCGAAAAGTGCGGCTGAGTTACGTCGCCAATCCGCGGGAAATCCGTGGATTGTTCGTGACGCGTGTACGAACCAGACTCCTTTGGTGTGATTGGTAGAGGTGAAAAGAATCTCCCGTGTCCTCTGGGCAGGAGGTCAACCTCGCATTCTCAGGGACAGATAAATATTTTCGCAAGGGATCTGGAAACCACGCAAAGGTTGCGCTTTTACCGAAAAGAGACAATGGTGCGGATGATTTTCGTGCAACACAGACCGCGTTTGGGTGAAACGACGATCAACCAGGCACTTTTCCTTGCCAAATCAGCAGATGAACTGCAACCACAAACAGGGAACGGAGTCCTCACGTGGCAGCACCTAGAACATTCAGGAGTGTTGAATGTCCATCCTGGCTCAGCAGAAGATATCAAGTAATCATAACAATAGAAGCTTCGGAAGAGGTGGCCTTTCGTCGCATTAATGAAGCTTCTACTCGGGCAGGTGAACTGGGAACCGACAATAATAAATCACAGTATACACGAGGGCCCGATTTAGCAAAAATAAGGAGCTCGTTGACTAGTGTAAGAAATCCAAAATCTACATCTTGAAAATAGGCGTACCATTCAAACTTTAGAGCAGCAAAAAGTAGATGGTGCATGAAACTGCCTGCTGGCGTGGAGAATGGATATCAAACCTGTGGACAGAAGCGCTCTTTTCCAGCAAAAAGCATATCGGACTTTGTGGCCATTTGGGGTTTCCACGTGTGATCGAAGAACTCTGACATGGCGCACATGCTCAAAGTGAAAGCAACAGTAGTAAGCCAATAAACCGAGGCCACATCTGTCCAGCAGAAGAATCATCCAAACGAAAAGCTGGCGAGAAACATCTGGGATGGGCCAAATGATGATCACCCCATCGATGGGCTATAAACATTGGCCCCAAACAATCTTCTGAACATCAACATCACTACAGTTACGTACTTTACATGCAATTAGTAGGCACATACAGGTAAGTTGAAGAGAATGTAAGTGGGAGAAGTTTACATGCTGGAGCGTGTGGGAGAGACAACCAACTGCTGGTCAAAGAAACCTGCCATCAAATCTCTGATCAAATAAAATATGAATCGCTTCGCCGTACTTGCGTGTTGGCGAATGAAACAGAAAATGTTGGCAGTAATTGGGCGCTAGGTGGCCAGGAGAAATGTGGATGGCTGGTGTGTTGGAAACAATCGATCTTAAGCGCCTCTGTCGTGTCGAAACACTAAGGCACAAACGAAACGAAGCATATCGAAGCACCAGCGAGTCAACCCTCGGAGGTTGAAAGTAACTGTTAGAGGTTACACGAAAGTCAAAGGTCAGCGACCTTTGACCTGACAAAGTACACCGCGACAGCAAGGACATACAACTGACTCGCTACAGAGCAGTTGCCCGAGTCGTCACTGTATCGAACCGCAACAGCAACAGTAAAACAGTTATAACTGTACCCCTTCATATTCCTTGTACTCTTATATAATCTTGTATCTCTTTGTTTTAATCAATCGACTTTGCCCTCACATACTACCGCAAGGTGGTTCAAATACTTCTCATTAAGCTTCCGCTATTACATCAATCCTACCCAGAATTCACCCTTGTAAATATCCTAAGGGCTATTTTCTCAGCCCTACATGGTATGAGAGCTGTCAGGGGGAATTCAACTTCTATCAAAATACCAACAACATCAACAGGCATGGCTACACAAAAGGAAAGGAGCAACTCCAACGGCTCCCAGGGCACTACTCCTACTCCACCTCCTGCCTTTGACCTACAGACAGAGGAAGGCACGGCCGTTAGACCTAGAACAACGTCTACCGAGACTCCCGCGAATCAACCTGTAGACTTCGACCAGAGCATGATGGAGAAATTATTCTCCTTCATGTCCTTCTACGAGCAACACCATCGATCGGCACCTGCGCAGTCACACAATAGCAACAACAACGGAGCAACTCCCATGAGTCTCGACGACTCATCATACGCACGAGGAAATCAACAGCAGCAGCCTACCGTTGCTCCGTACGAGCGCAGGTCCATCAGCTTTATGCCACACCCGCAGCCTTCACCTGAACAAGAAAGGCCACCGGACGCATTACAAGTTCAATCGCAGTTCGCGCACGTTCCGAAGATGCAGACGTCAAGACCTTTCGATGGAAAGGATTTCTTCACCTGGTCGTTTGAATTCGAGTTGATGATGGAAGGCGCGCAAATACTTGGCTTCTTCGACAGGTCCCTGCCATACCCAACGAACGGCACACAGTATAAGAAGCAACAGTACACCTATCACTCGATGATGGCGTACACGATTCTACTGAGGAACATCACCCCGACTCAACGGCAGAATAAACGGTCTTACCGGGGTTACGGCAACTCCGCGGAGCTCGCATACAACCACTTGAAGAGCCTGTATCAAGCAACAGACAGCATAAATCAAAGTCGGTTAATGACGCAACTGACAACGGTCGAAATGAAACCAGGCGAGAAAGGAATGGCGTATATCAGCCGATGTCGCGAGCTGCGCGACAAGCTTCTTCGATGCGGAGGGCCGATATCTGAAGACGCCTTCGTGACAGTTATCATTGGCGGCCTCGGTCCTCAATGGCGCGCCACAAAGGCCATTCTCTGAGCCCACGGAAGAATCTCCGAAGCAGCGCTCTGCGCCGAAATCCACGCCGAGCAGCAAGATATGGACCTGCAAGAAGAACGACACAAGAAGAAGACTTCAGCACCGGAATTTGCATTCCACATTCAGCGACGCTACAACAACAACAAACAACAACAACCGAAGCCCATACCTCCGTTCTACCACATCTGCAAGACGTCAGGGCACCCGCGTACGCACTGCCCGAATCGACAACAGTCAACGTCTTCACAGCGGCAGCTTCGACCTTCAAGCAATCAAGTCGCCTCAACGACCTCAACAGGACAACCTTCACAAGGAGCAAGGAACATCGTCAGTTGCATGGCAAGACTGAGTGACTCCTGCATCACGGAATCACCACCGTACTACTCACCGGAAGAACAACTCGACGACACCACACCTCATCGCGGTTCACTTCAACCGAACCCGACATAAACAGCCATCGCCCAAAGTGAGCCATCCGGGAAGGACACGTGGTTCTTGGACAGTTGCTGCGGACAACACATGTGTTCTTCAGGACGCTTCGTGCAGCGAGAGTACCAACTCCAACGCGAAGTAGTCATCACCGTCGCCAACAACGAAAACCTGCGCACACGACGACAAGGAGTCGTTCAACTTCAGTCACGAGAGACAAACGTCATACTACAAATGTCCAAGGTCTTAATCGCAGAAGGCCTCGGCTACAACTTACTAAGCGTTAGCCAGCTGATGGCTAAAGGTATCCACCTTGAAGCAGGCAGCACCACTCAGGAGTTCAAGCTGTACCACGGGAAGGGCGGCCTCTACATCGGAAAGGCGATCCTGAAAAATAACGTCTTCGTTCTTGATTTTGTTCCAGATCTCGGCACAGCAGACAGCGACGGCATCGTCACCTTCACTTCCTGGACCCACCCTCCAGATCTTGATCCAGACTTCAGCCCCGGCGGCTTCTGGCATTCACACACCATCCCTGAGGCAGAAAGAACAAGGGCGTTAGCAACAATTCAACACTCGGCAGCAGCAGAGACAACATCGGAAGCAGCAGAGACAACATCGGAAGCAGTAGAGACAACATCGGCAGCAGCAGAAACAACATCGGCAGCAGCAGAGACATCAACGGCAGCAGCAGGAACGTCAACACCAGTCGCTGGTCCTTCAACGGCACCACTCCTCGTCGACGACACACCACCGACACCCGAGCAACAACTACACCCAGCACCACGAGAAGTTCATCGAAGCGCCAACTTCACCGTGAGCTTCTACTCCAACTCCGATATGTATCGGTGCTCACCCGGACATCGTGCAACCGAAGGAACGTGGCACGCAAGAATGGGACATCCAAGCAACACGGTGTTAAACAAAACGATAAGAGCAGGATGCTCGACAAAGACTCTCTACTCCTAACTGACAACAGAGAACTTCAGCGAGCTCGAGGAACATGCTTCACTTGTCCCGAAGCTGACTTACCGCATCAACCGTTCGCGTCTCACCACAACCCAAGCGCACCAGCTTACGCGCCACTCGAGAAGGTGTACAGCGACATCTTGTACAACCACGAGCCTGGACAAAATGCGTACAACTACACCATCACCTTCATCAACGCCGCCACACGATACGTCTGGCATCTAAACCTTCCGAGCAAAGACATGGCCTTCGAAGCCTTCGTCGCGTGGCTCCCAGTAGTAGAGCGAGAATCGGGCGTCAAACTGAAGAGCTTCCAGTCAGACGGGGGAGGAGATTACACCTCAAATAGGTTCAAGCAGTACTTGGCTTAAAGGGGAATCAAGCGGCTCATCTCCCTTCCCTACGCCCATCAACAGCAAGGTGTAGCAGAAAGGATGAACAGGACCCTCCAGAACACCATGCGCAAGCTGCTACGTGGCATGCACCTGCCCAACCACCAGTGGCCCGAAGCAATGGACCACGCCGTCATGCTGCACAACCTGCTCTCGTCATCATCGCTCCCGAACAACGCATCACCTCACTTGCTGTGGACAGGAAAGAAGGGCAGCACAAAAATGTTAAGAGTCTTCGGCTGCATGGTACAGTACCGGCCCCCATCTGCACGAGCCGGCTGATTCTCCCAATGCGCACAGTGGGGGCTACACCTAGGCATCGAAAAGCATTACAATGCATGGAAATTTTTGACGTCGAGACAAAAGAGACAGTGGCAGCACGTGATGTCATTTTCTACGAAAACCTCACCCTTCGGTATTACCTTGCCAACTTGCAAGAAGGAAACCCCGATCGCTCCGATGGTTTTCTTGGCACCCGAGCCTTCGCCTCGGCAGACGACGAAGCTGACTGGGACGAGAAGAACGTGGAAGGAGCCTCGGAAGAAGCCGGACCCCTCCCCTACTACTCCGTCGACGTGCCAATGGACGACGAAAACCCACGCGAAAGCATCAACGCCGAAACCTATTACCATTTCGCTGACAACATATACGTTACACCTGCACAAGTCAACACCGACGAAGCAGGACGCATAGGACCTAATTTCGCACCTGATCCAGAAGCGGGAGACGAAGCAGTTTATCCCGAGGACACTTCACTCCCCCGCTACACACAGAGTGGACTCCAAATCCTTGGCCTCGTTACCGCAGTTCACGGCACAGCCATTCCTAAAGAGCCTGCGACAGTTCAACAGGCTCTGGGGGGGGAACATAAGGAAAGATGGCGTGAAGCCATGGACAGGGAGCTAAAGGCACTGGAGGAACGCAACACCTGGAAGGTCGTCCATATCGGCGTAGCACGGATCAAAACAGTACTCACCGGGAAGTGGGTCTTCCGTGTGAAGACAAAGGCTGACGGCACCATCGACAAGTTTAAAGCTCGCTGGATCGTACGCGGCTTCGACCAAGAACACGGACGCGACTTCACCGAAACATTCGCTCCGGTCAGTCGACACACTTCACTCCGAATCCTCCTCGCGATCGCCGCCATGAAGAAGAAGAAGCTGCGACAAATCGACGTCGCGAACGCATTCCTCTACGCACCTGTTGACGCAGAAATCTTTGTCGAATTGCCGCACGGCTCCAACGGTGAGCCCAATCAAGTCTGTCAGCTGCTGAAGTCGCTCTACGGCATCAAGCAAGCTCCGCAGCTATGGCAACAATACCTGCACGCTCGCCTCATTCGCATCGGCTTCAAACAACAACCGCACGACCAGGGCATGTACCGGCTCACGAAGGGCACCGACTACATCCTGTTAATCGTCTACGTAGACGATCTACTCTACATCGGCTCGACCGACAGCATCACAACCTGGTTCGAAGGAGAGCTGCAGAAGGACCTCACGCTCACGGTCTCATCTAGCGTCACACAGTACCTCGGTCTCAACATCCGAGAAGAGGAAGATGCGATCTACCTCAGTGCCGCGAAATACGCCGACACCATCGCCAAGCGCTTCGCACTCACACCGACCGCCATCTCCACACCGTACCGCTACACGACATGAAACAGCAAGGGAAGCTCCACTCTACTTAAGCACGCCGGCATACTCGACTACCAGAGGAAACTGGGATGCCTCTTTTTCGCAGCTGTCACCTGCCGCCCGGACCTATCGTACTCTGCAAGTCAGCTCGCCACCTACCTCAAGAAGCCTGAAGCATAACATCTGGCGGAGCTCGACCGCGCTCTTCACTACCTCGTCAGCACCCCGACGATCGGCCTAACTTACTACAAAAACGCAACTACACGCCTAAGTTAATCGGCTACGTCAACGCCGATCACGCTGGCGACTCCGACAACAGGCGCTCCCGCACCGGCTACATCTACCGCCTCGAACCTATCGGACCTATCTCTTGGCAGTCGAGCAAGCAGGAATTAATCGCCCTCTCGTCAGCTGAAGCAGAATATATTGCACCCTGTTCAGCCACCAAGGAAGGACTTTACCTTCGCGAACTGCTGGAAGAAGCGAAGCTGGCTCAGTCACCCAGCTTCACTCTGTTCTGCAACAACCAGTCGGCAATTCGCATCGCCAACAAGAACGGCTTCGCGAACAGGACGAAACACATCGCCCTGCGATATTTCTTCGTGAAGGATGAGATCGAGAAAGGGAGGCTCGAGCTGTCATACTGCCCCACGTCCGAGATGGCAGCTGACTACTTGACAAAGAAGCTCAGAAAGCAGAAGTTCGAGTACTGCATGCTGCTGACTGGACAGAGCCACGTCACCAGCAGCGACACTCCAGAAGCGAAGGGGAGTGTTGGAAACAATCGAACTTAAGCGCCTCTGTCGTGCGAAACACTAAGGCACAAACGAAGCGAAGCATATCGAAGCACCAGCGAGTCAACCCTCGGAGGTTGAAAGTAACTGTTGGAGGTTACGCGAAAGTCAAAGGTCAGCGACCTTTGACCTGACAAAGTACAGCGCAACAGCAAGGACACACAACTGACTTGCTACAGAGCAGTTGCCCGAGTCGTCACTGTATCGAACCGCAACAGCAACAGTAAAACAGTTAAAACTGTACCCCTTCATATTCCTTGTACTCCTATATAATCTTGTATCTCTTTGTTTTAATCAATCGACTTTGCCCTCACATACTACCGCAAGGTGGTTCAAATACTTCTCATTAAGCTTCCGCTATTACATCAGTCCTACCCAGAATTCACCCTTGTAAAGATCCTTAGGGCTATTTTCTCAGCCCTACATGGTGAAGTCGAAACTTCAGAATCTCGATTGTTATCCACGGCAATCTGTCGATACATGGTGGATCTGCTGTGACCAGGAGTCACCACCGCCGGCAACGTTGTTAGGGGGTGCCCTGCATGTCCCCATGTGACATCATCGTGTGACCCATATGCCCTAGACAACCCTCCTACGTTCACACACGGGCCAGCAAGTCCGAGAAGTAGAGCCTAAAAGACACGGGCATGCATTGGTGTTGATTCAAATCAGTGGTGGGAGGAAGAGCGAGTGGTACCACTGTGGAATGATAGTTGCTTGCTTGCGCTGCTGAAGAAAAGTACGTACGGTGATGACGGAGGAGGACCCAGATAACCGACCGTACCGTTAAATTTAAGGGTGCAGCGATTTGTGAGTCAAGATGAAAGTTCTCAGGTAATCAGATGCGGTACTCTCATCTGACTGACATGGGCCTTGTATGTTGTGCTAGTTGCCCTGGTCTTGATTCGGTTTGAAAAAGTCCAGCACACCGGACGGACCAGAAGCTTGGCAAGACGAGCACGGAACAACGATGGCCCAACAAAACAAGCTTCGGCACAATCACCAATCACCGCCTCCGGTGCTTGTCCTTTGATGTAGCGAACTCCCTCTCTGCAATCCATAAAACAAGTAGAAGTATTAGTGTGCATCTGGAAGTGCAAACAAGATGAAGACCAAGCAGGAAATAATGATTTCACCTCGTGGAGCAGGTTGCCGACCACGCCCACCATCGCGACCACCTGCAGGGAGGTTGCAACTCGTGACATTATTGCCAAGAGTAACAAGTGATCAAGCCAGCAGCAAACAACAACCGCCATGCCCATGAACAGCTCACGATTCATAACTAAACCAAAACTTTATTATTCACTTACCGAAAGGTTCACGGTTGCGCCGGCCTTCATCTCGAAACGACCGATCGCGCTCCACATCACGGTCACCATCCCTATCTCTGTCGCCATCCCGGTCCCTATCTCTCCGATCTCGATCCTTGCGGTCCCCATCACCACCCCGGTCATCCCTCTCTACCTCCCTCTTGTCTCTGTTCCCATCCTTCCTGTCCCTCTCACGCTCAACATCCCGGTTTGCACGCTCTCGCTCCCTCCGCTCCCGCTCCCTCTCACGCTCTCGAGCCCACTCCCGATCCCGCTCCCTGTCCCTCTCTTTCTCCCTCCCACCCTCCATATCCTGCTGCCGCTCTTTCTCCTTACCGTCCATGCCTGCTTTCCCAATCCCCAACCGCTGCGCTCCCTTTTTCTTCTCCAGGTCTCGCTTCAGCTGCTCCCTCAGCTTCATCTCTTTCAGTGCCAGCTCTTTCTCCCTTCTCTTGCTCACCAACGTTTTCTCTCCATCTGACTCCGACTCGTCCTTCTCTGTGCGGTCTGGATCCCCACCATCTCCTGTGTCTCTCATGTTTCTCCTCCGCTTGCCAGGCTGGCCCTGCACACCACGGTCACTGTCGGGGCTAGTGGATCGCTTGACCACTTTCCGTGGAGACTCTCGCCTTTTGCCCGCCTCTGCTGCTGGATCATCCCCAGAGCTTGGCTTTGTGGTGGCAGGGGACCCAGGTTCAACAACAGCTGTAGCTGGTATTTCAACATCAGGAGCAGGAGCAGGGGCAGGGGCAGGGGCAGGGGCAGGGGCAGGGGGAGCAGCTGCAGCCGCATCAGCATCAACAGGCGCTGGCATCGAATCGGAGGGTGGTGGAGTGGGCGCAGAAACAGGTGCAGCATGTTTCAAAACTCCGGGAAGCTCCTGTGTATGAGAAGAATGGCAAATGCACAAGTGAAAATTCAGACATAGTAAACCGTCAAAAAGGGTCATGACAGAGAGTATGTGCGAGAAATGCAGCAATGGACAAAGGAGGGAAGGGCGGAATGCGTGGTGGTTTCTACCTGGGGATCAGGAGGCGGCTCCCATCCTCTCGTGGTGAGCACAAACGGTTTGGTGTCCTTGCCCTTGGCAACCTCAATGTACTGCGCCTTGGGCCGCCTGTACAACTCCGCCAGCGCCCTGCACACCTCGTCAATGCCCTCCTTTGACGCGTCGAACGCCAGCCACCAGGGCGGGTTCTCTGGCAGTGGTATGCGAGCCCGCCTCGTTGCTGCGTAGATCACCCCACATGCCACAACCTCGCTCTTGAACCGCACACACAGCACCGTCCGCAAACTGCATGGTCATAAAGAGCTGGTCAGAACGGAACAACTCTATGAGTGCCCATTAATCGACATTGACATGTATAAAGAAGAGCGATGCTGCACCTGTCATTGGCGAGGTTCCAGGCCTCGTGCTTGACAGCATCATCGAGCACGTCGAGCTGTCGCAGGTAGTTGAAAATGAACTTGTGGGGATGCTCCACGTGGCAGATGAACCCCATCTCCTTCAGAATGTGTCTTTCCGTTCGTATCAGCTCCGTGCGCAAGTCCTCATAGTTCTGAAGGAGTACAGTAAGTGTAATTCTATTAGCCTAGGCACAGTAAACAGGGTAAATAACATACAGCTCCATTGACAGGAGATAGGGAAGTGAGGGAGCAAGAAAGGAGGGGGGCGAGTGAGCGAGCAAGCAAGGGAGGGAGAAGGGGGAGTGGGGGAGCCGGTGGCATGAGTAGGGAAGGCGGGCAAGAGGGTTTGTGAGGTAGAAGCGCACCTTTGAGAACTGCTCTAGGGGAACTAACGGGAGGTTGTCACGCCTTAAGTTAATCCGGTGGAAGACGTTGAGCACGTCACGAATCCGCCGAGGATTCTCCTCCAGCTTCGACGCGAGCCACACGCAGCTCGCAGCAACACCCTGCGGGAATCATGACAAGCTATCAGAATAAGCCCATCATGTACACGACAGCAAAATGGATAGGGTTATCATTCTAGGCAGCCGGAATGGCATTATGGACGCAGGTAAGGTGAAAATTCTCACCTTGACATTGAACCGCGTCAGCGACTTCTTGCAATAAAATCTGTGGAAGAGGACTTGTCCGGTGGCCATTACAGCCTGAGGCCTGCAGAAGAATGCAAGCCGCGGATGAAGTCAGGGCGAACGAACAAGCAGCGGAAGCTGGCTACGTAATTAACGTCAATCGATGGAGGAGGACTTGTCCAGTGGCCATTACAGCCTGAGGCCGGCGAATCAAATGCTAGCATAAGCTAAGGATGAACGAACGAGAAGGGAAGCAACATCGTCTATCGTCGAGCGAGCGAGCTCACAGTTTTAAGAGAATTCCGGACTCCTGAATAAGCTCGCAGCCGTATACACGGAGGACATACTCCGTTTCCTTGTCCACTCCTTCCTTGCGCGACGGCGAGTCATCTATCTGGTCCTTGGTCAGATAGAAGGAGTCAATGGTCGTGTAGATCATGGCGCGAACTCGAGTGGTGCGACGAGGAGGGGACGCAAGGAGCCTCTTACAGCGTGATGGCTAGAATCCGGATCACGCTGTGAGGAGCCGAAATTACGAGGGGTGCCAATAGCAGCGAGGGAAACACGAGGTGGGCTGTGCGAGTTGGGTTGCGTAGATACTAGCCTAGATTATTCCAAGAACAAAGGTCCTCCCAGTGCTACAGAACAGGCCCAGCCAGATATAGGATACAATGAGGCACATCAGCAGGTGACTACAACACGGCTGCCCTATTGCAATTTCAAACCTGTTGCTGTACATTACATACATGCAGGTTTGTAAGTGTTGGGCTGAGGATTTCAGCCTTTGAATCTTTGCAGAGAATAGGCTAGTAGGTGCTAGAGTAGCACAGCGGAAGTCTTTTGAGTGAATGTACTTGTGCTGGTATGTGAGAACAAGTAATTGATTAAAGCAAAGAGCATACAGGAATATATAGAAAAGATAGATTACAGGAAGCGGTTATGTTTATCGAGACGCGTAACGCTTCGACTATCGAGGCGGTTACTGTTCACTGAAGCGTCGCCTGCTGTTGCGTAACCTCCAGGCGGTTACGGCTCGCAACTTCCAGTTGCGGTTTGATGTGGTACGCGCCTTTTCGACTTCATACCCCTTTTGTTGTGCTTCAGTATCGGGTGAGGTTCGATACTACAGAAACGCACTAAGTCATGCGTTTATATTCCCAACACTCCCCTTCGTTTCTGGAGTGTCGACGTGGTCAGCTTCGGTGACGTGGCCCAATCCGGTGAGCAGCATGCAGTACTCGAATTTCCCCTTTGGTAGCTTCTTGGTGAGATAATCTGCTTCCGGGCAGATGAAGCAAGTGCCGCGTGGTCGTTCGAGTTCACGTCCGTTGGGAAGAAGTAGGGCGTTCTTGTCTAACACTCCGGCTCGTATTGTGTTGTAAAGTGTTTTGTTTCCAGGATGTCCAAGACGTTGATGCCAGATGTCTTCGGAGGCGCTGTGACCGACGGAGCGTTGATAGAAGTCTGCGTTAGCGAAAAAGGCGGCGTGTGTTGCTGCACTTCGATGAACGGCACGTGGTGCTGGCGTTAACTGTTGGGCGGCTGTCGGTGGCGTGTCGATGATGAGAGGTGGTGGTGCGACGGAGGGACCGGGCTGTGGAGTTTCGGAAGGTTGTTCCGTGACGACGGTTGGTTCTTCAACTGCAGGTTCGGTGGTTGTTGGTGCTGTGACGGGTGCAGTTGTTGTTTCGATGACGGGTGCTGACTCAGGTGTTGTTGCTTGTGTTTGCAGGACGGCAAGCGCGTTGGTGCGTTCAGCTTCGGGAATGGTACGAGAGTACCAGAAGCCTTCAGGACTGAAGTTCAGGTCGAGGTCTGGCGGATGCGTCCAAGGTGCGAGAGCGACTATGCCGTCGCTGTCTGCGGTGCCTTTGTCGGGGACGAAATCGAGGACGAACACGTCATCTTGTTGGATTGCGCGGTCGATGAAGACCCCCCCTTTTCCGTGGTAAAGACGGATTTCCAGGGCGTCGGAGTCGCACTCCAGGTGAACGCCTTTCGACATGAGTTGGCTGACGCTCAGTAAGTTGAAGCCGAGGTTGTCGACGACGAGTACTTTGTTTAGTTGAAGGATAACGTTTGTTTCGTTTGAATGAAGCTCCACGACTCCTTGTTTGTTGGTGCGCAGGTTTTCGTTGTTGGCGACGGTGATGATGACGTCTCGCGGAAGACGTCGTTCGCGCTAAAGAAATCGTGATGAAGAGCACATGTGATGACCGCAACAGCTGTCGAGGAACCATGTGTCTGGTCCGGTGGGTGCACTGTTCGCGATGGCGGCGTACGTTGGATTCACGTTAAGGGACGACGGTGGTGGTGACGGTTGCTCATCAGGACTGTAAGTCGGTGGTGAGCCGGAAATACACGAGTCGATGTTTGACTCTGTTGTTCGTGTCATGGCGACGATTCTTGATGTCTGTGCAGGTCCCGAAGTGGAAGTTGACGGTCGCGTTGAAGTAGTCCTTGAGGCGGTAGCGGGTCGTTGTTGAGTTGACGCGATGCGGGGAGGCGCGGGTCGCAGAGGACGAGAGAATGGTGCTGGTTGTCGTTGTTGCTGAGGGCAGTTGAAGCGTGTGTGTCCTGAAGTCCGACACAGATGACAATAAGGAGGTACGTGTCCTCGGTTTTGGTAACGTGGCTGTCGTCGATTGGTGTAAAGAACAACTGGTTGATGATGCCTTTTGTTGTTGCGTTCTTCGAACAGGTCCATTTCCTGCTGCTCGGCGTGAAGTTCGGCGCAGAGATGCATTTCGGAGAGTCGACCGTGAGCGCGAAGAAGTGAACGGGTGGTGCGCCATTGAGGTCCAAGGCCGGCAAGAACGACGGTTACGAAAGCTTCTTCAGATAAGTTTCCTCCGCAGCGAATAAGTCTGTCGCGTAGTCCTTGACAGCGACTAATGTAAGGCATGGCCTTTTCTCCAGGTTGCATTTGAACTGTTGTCAGTTGTGCCATGAGTCGGCTTTGTGTAACGCTGTCGGATGCTTGATGAATGCTTCGCAGATGTTGATAGGCGAGTTCCGCGGAGTTTGCGTAGTTCCGGTAGGCGCGGATGCTTTGTTGTTCGTTCGGCGACAGGTTTCGGAGAAGAACGGTGTAAGCCATCAGGGAGTGATACGTATAATTTTCTTTGTCTTTGTCTTCGCCGTTGTGTGGATATGGCCAGGTACCGTTGAAGAATCCAAGAAGATTCGCGCCTTCCATCAGGAGTTCAAACTCGAAGCTCCAAGAATAGAAGTCCTTCCCGTTGAATGGTGTGGATGTGTGCAGTCGTAGGATGTTGTTGAACTGTGCTTGTACTTGCAGGACTTCTTCGGTGTCTCGTTTGATGGCGGGAAGAGGGGTCGCTGGATGGCGAGGCGGCATGAACGTGAAGGAACCAGGTGAGACCGAATTTGGTGTTTGTTGATTATGTCGTCCGAACGATGAGTTGTCAATACTCATTGGTGCCGCTCCGTTGTTTACGCTGTTGCTGTTTGCAGGCTGTGAGGACTGCTGCTGCGACATGAAGTTGAAGAACTCCTCCATTAAGCTTGGGTTGAAGATTGTTGGCGGCGCTACTGGCGCTTGAGTAGAACATTCCGTCGCTTCCGGCGTTAATCCGGACGTTGTTCCTCCTTCGGTCTGCAACTCGGAGACCGGGGGTAGAGTAGATCCCGTAGATGATCTTCTTTCTTTGCCACTTGCCATGTCTTGCCTTTCTTGAATGAAGATTGAACTTCTTGGTTGCTTGCAGATCGGTAGCCTGGAAGAGGCTTAGTGACGAGAGCCTTTGTTCTCTGATTGCTCTCATACCATGTTGGGCTGAGGATTTCAGCCTTGGGATCTTTGCAGAGAATAGGCTAGTAGGTGCTAGAGTAGCACAGCGGAAGTCTTTTGAGTGAATGTACTTGTGCTGGTATGTGAGAACAAGTAATTGATTAAAGCAAAGAGCATACAGGAATATATAGAAAAGATAGATTACAGGAAGCGGTTATGTTTATCGAGACGCGTAACGCTTCGACTATCGAGGCGGTTACTGTTCACTGAAGCGTCGCCTGCTGTTGCGTAACCTCCAGGCGGTTACGGCTCGCAACTTCCAGTTGCGGTTTGATGTGGTACGCGTCTTTTCGACTTCATACCCCTTTTGTTGTGCTACAGTATCGGGTGAGGTTCGATACTACAGAAACGCACTAAGTCATGCGTTTATATTCCCAACAGTAAGAAATATGCCGGTATCATACAATGGAGCACAACAGCAAGTGACTACATTATGGTTTAGGAATACAAGGGAGCAGAGAGACGACAAATTGAAATGGCTGGTCCGGGCGGGCATTCTGATGGAATTTGCTGGTTCAGCAGGGTGCAAGTGCACTGAGCAGCACGGGGGCTTTGGGGCACAGGAACATGTGGGGACACATGCCCTCACCCCACCAGCCATTCGCTGTGCTGGCATCTGTGGAAGCGTCAGGAGACATGGAAATGCTGTGTGCATTCATCATACATATGCTGTGTCTGGGATGCATGAACCCTGAAGCTTGAGGTCAGGACTCAGGATGCAAGGATCTGGGATATGGAAGGCTGTTTGGCTGGGGAGTTGGTTGGCTGCTTGGCTATGCTAGTACTTGGCTGCTTGTCCGATTGACTGATTCGGAGGTGACCGCAGCATCTCACCATTTCTGTGCTGCAGTTTCTGTGCGAACCGTGTCAGTCAACCCTGCCAGTCCATGCTATCCTCACTTACGTGCGAGAGGGGTTCGCCGGTCTCATGGCTGCTTGGTGGTTCACCTGTCTCATGTATGCTGCATGCAGCACCGCTTGTTCAGTGCCCTGCATTTCCACGGGGTGCCTGGCATGGCACAGCACCTGAAGGAGGACACTCCGTCCCATTTGGGTGTTTGTGCCCAGGCAGCCCCAGGCTGCCCACCTATTCCGCAACATGCAGGCCCATCCCATCCCAGCGAAGCACAGCACAACACACCTAAACACAACTAAGCACACCTAAGCAAACTTGGCACACCTAAGCACATGTATACGAAGCTAAGCACAGCACTGGTCCGTTTTAAGCTCTTGGTCGTGCACCCACGGCCACCAGCAAGCAGCAGCCCACAGAAGAGCCACTCACGAGGAGAAGCTGCCATCGGGACAGCAGTGGGATATGGAAGGAAGGAAAAAAAACGAGGAGCCACTTAAAAGTTGCAGAAGTAAAGGTGATCAGACGGCAAAGAATGGTTGTGTCTTAAATTCATGTCAGATAAAAAGACGAGCACTTCAGTGAGAAATGTGCGATAACAAGGTCAGCAACTCCCCCCTTGCGGAATCTCAAATCACACCTAGGGTACCATGAAAATTACGCAGCAATGTTGTTGCTGCCACTGCTTCCCCCACGGATGCTGCCAGAAACAGCAATGGGACATGGAGAGGGGAAAAGATCAAATTTGAAAAAACAACAGGATACAAGGACG